AAACTGTGTCCTTTGAGCCGTATTTTCATCAAGTATAATTACCCCTAATTTCTAAAACTCCCAAACGTTCCTCACGTGCTTTATTTACACCGATCGACTTATCTAATCGAGCGTGAGCTTTCGATAAGGGCGCGATGTAGGTGCAATTTGATTGAAGCCCGCGAAAGATACAAAAGCTCAGCTTTCCCTTCTCCAGTCGCGTTTGTTCGTTGGGAAACTTTTCTTCGTCGGGCGCAAAATTTAACTGGAAAACTTTTCGTCATCAGCGCGTATTTCGAAATCGATTTACCTACCTTAGATTTACGATAATTAAAGCAGAGGTGAAGATAAAATCTACAAATCCATAGAATGAAAATTACGTCGATAAAAGGCTCCTTCGACTTATATAAACTGAATCTAAGTAGCCCGAGATAGCCATCTCGAAAAAATAACGTCGTATTAAATGGTAAATGTTTCTCGTAAAAAAATAATAATAAACTTCATTACATACCTGTCTTACGGGTGGTAAAAGATACCTATTGATAAACGTATATGGGTTTTATAATTAACTTATCGACAAATTAAGATGGATAAAAGGCTATTTGAATTTTTCATCCTCTCATTTTACCGGTTATTCCTGTACTTCTTTTTTTATAATATCCTATAGTGACTTTTAAATCGACACTCTTGCCAGATTGTTTAAAAATACTAGTTTCTACAAAAGTTAAGATGAATAGTAACATGTTATAATGCTGTTGTTTCGGATAAATTTATGCAAATCTCTAGCAAACGGCCGTTCGAATAGCCAAGGTAAATTTATATGCAGAACCAGTCCCCGGTAATTTAAATTAACAACGCAATAAATGCTTCCGAGAGAAAATACATCTACTATTTTAGTACTTCAGAGCATCTCATTTGGTAATTAGTCCCATTCGGAGATACTACTCTATATAAAGCAGTTAATGGGGCTATTTCATTAGCGTTTAACACTTTTTTACTATGCCATTTCCCCAGTACAAATGGAATAAGTGGAAATTTGTTTTAGGGAAATCAAGGCGAAAAAATCAAACGCGTGCCGAAATAAAAGAAACAAAACTTACAGAGTAAATACATGTTTTTGAAGACCTTTATTAAATCACAAGAAAAAAAATTGGTGGAATATTTGGGGCAAAACGGTTTGGCCCAAACATTCCACCGAAGGTGGATTCATCCGAAATTGCTTCAAAACAACGGAAACACTGACCTGTCAATCAACGAGCGGTAGGTTTTCGCGATTTTAAAGTATAATAAAAAAATTATAATACGCGCAGCTCCCGATGCCTATTTTCGAAATGGCCTTACGACAACGACAAAAAAACCGGTCGATATATATCTAAAAATAAATAAAACATGACATTTGTAGTTACAATTCATTAAACACTTGAACGTTTACGAGTGTTTTTTCCTCCTTTCTATCCATTGAATTTAAAATTTGTAAATACCTAACCGTATTGGAACGTGCCATTAACAATTCCAAGCGAATGGATGTACACAAAATAAGTTTTTCATTTCCGCCTGTTTTTATGCGTCATGTCATATTTATACTGTTAATTAAATTATTACGAGTGTTTTGGGCTTGTTTCATCGAGCGACAACCCCCGTATAAAAGCTAGCTGTAATATAACAAGGCGATTCTTGGAGACACGCTGTGTAATATCGGTTTAGAAGATTTATCACTTTCATCGTGATGTCAATTATTATAAGGTTATGGATACCGAGAATCAAAAGAACAATATATTTCAGCGACTTGAAGACGTTTATTGTTCCGGCTGCAAATAAAATAACGAACAAGACAATACTAGAAACCTAAAATGGAATGAGCCCATAATCGACTGGATGGACCTAAAAAGGTTTTTATGATGCGCTCCTTATTATTTTTTGTATTCGCTAAATTTCAACTTCCTATCTGTTTTAGACGGATCGGCGACGGGAAACTTTATCATTTTATTTCCCCCGTTTAGCTTATTTTATTATTTCCTCTCCCGCCGGCGATTTTTGCTTATGCTGGTGATTGTTCAAAATAGGTCGCGAGAAATATGTGTCACTTAATAATAGAAGTGCAATCATTGAATTTCAAATATTGAACCGAACGCGGATATCTGAACGTTGTATGTAAGAAAGTCTCGGAGTTATAAAATTATTGTGGTGGATTCTTTCTTTTTGAAAAAACGCCGTTTGGTTCATTTTTATGAATGATATTTGGCCCAGAATTTCAACGCAGGGAATTTACTTTGACACTATTTGAAAGTAGATGGAATATCTAACCTAATTATCTTTGCTTTTTCATTTTTTTATGGTAATTTTAATGAGGAATTAAAAACGTGCAAAATTGTACAAACTATTGGTAGGTAAATAATTCGGAAAAGTCAAGAAATTGATATCAAATATGAGAGAAGCTTTGATGGAAAATTGTTATGGTCCAAACGGCGTTTCGGGCTGTTAAGTACATTTGAAATATAAGTGTTTCCTTAGGAATGGAATGTAAAGTAAATGCATTATAGACGTAGTTGGAGTTTCTTTAAACCAAAAAAGATCAAAAGTTAAGAGATAGAAATAAGTACTGCATATGGAATTGTCGCTATTTATGATTATAATATATTTCCCTGTCGCACGCTATACTTTTACGTTAGCCTGAATATGTTAAATTATGAGATGGCATTGCAATTATTAAAAATTCTCGTACGGAATCCATCTTTTATTTATCACGGATACATAAATCAATTTATTCATTCGCATACTATTCATTAATTGTGCAATTAAATAACGTATTTGACATTTAACAGATGGTTTTAACTGTCAAAATGTATATTTCGGAGTTTTTCATATTGCCGACCTTCAATTAACATAATATGTAAGTCACCACAAAACACAAGTCTATTCAATTTACTAAAATAAGAATTCCTGATGCTAAATATGTTGAATAAATGAGATAATAAATCTGTTCCTTATCGACTTCATCAGTAAATTGAGGCGTAATAGACCTTTTGGGGGAAATTGGAAAAAGATATTATTTAAAGGTTAAGTTAAAAGAATATTGGATGAGATTGGTTTTTATCAGTCTAATTGTCGAATCAGCCGGTATGGAAATTGGAAAAATACAAAAGGAAAATAGGTAAAGGACATTATTGGTAATTTTCTCGAAATTTCTTCTTCATTCTTTCCAATAAACAAAATTAAAAATTGAAATATTTTTGAAGAAAGTTACTGAAAAGGATTTGATGTGTGCTAAGATAATTACTCCAAATTCAAACGATAAATTTTTGGAAGAAACCTTTTAACTATTCAAATTTAATTTACATAATTTCAATTAATCTGTATAAACATGTACAAAATCCATTATCCATCTTTCCTTAACCCTTTCCTATACTTGTCGTTGTTAAATAGAATTAACATTATTTACTTGACCCTAGATTAGCTTGTTGGGCCTATACTAGATTAAAAAATTAGCACAGTGAATTTAACACATGTTAGGATATGGAGAGATAAATTTTATTGTGTGTTTATATCCTTTAAGCCTCAATTAAATACTAATTGTTTCTTGCTAATATAGCAGTAACTAATTAAATTGTTTTTTAATAACAATATCTATTGATTGATTAAATATTTAAAAATTATAGTATGTAAAAGAAGAGGATTTTCTTTAATGAAGACATAAAATTTTCTGTAATTTTGTTGAAGGATTCGACTTAATTTCTGTATTTTTACGAAAAATGCAGCTTTCGAAAAATTCATTTTTTGCTTTCAGCGCTAACTCTGCGATAAAATCCGAGTTCAGCACCGGATATCGTATCGATTCCTGCGAATTCCAGCAGGAAATATTCCTGAAACCCAGTTTCAGTTGCCGTAATTTCCACCGCACGAGACAGATGGCGCCAGTGACAACGAAAGGATATATTTATTTTTTTGCCATAGCGGATTTTTAATTGTTTAATTTTTATATTTACGACTTACTTGATTGTTATCATGAAGAATTACTCATGGAGTTATAGGAGTAAATGCTTGAAAAACTCACCTGAAACAAAAAAAAATATTTAGCAGTCATATTTTTTGAGAGAAAAATGAGTTAAATTGGATCACATAAAATAACTAGAAGTTGCGCAAATTATAAACCTCGAAAACTATTTTAAGATAATCTCTTATAAAATTAGAACTAAGGAGTATCTTGTTGTTGTTGTTTTTTATGCGGGCGGGTCTTAAGAGGTATCTTACATTGTCACATAATATTCTATCACCCTGTATATATCCCTCTTGCTCTCGTAAATTAAAAAAGAAATTCCCTTTGTTACTCGACTGTGAAACAACCCTTTCGAAAATATTTCGAATCGAAATCGATCAAAAATCCACAACATCACTCCGTATTTCAACCGAAATGTTTATCTTCAAGACAAAAAAATACATCATAATTCGCAGGAAAATCGCTGAACTCTCTACCGGACCCGAAAATGCGAGTCTAATGGTCCTTTTATAGCCGCCGAAATTTATACACGAAAAGATTCCTGTGTTCTCCGCGCCCGCACCGCCTCCCTTAATTCAAATGGGGAGAATAATGGGGTTAACGCTACTAAATTCGCTCGTAAATCCGGAAAATTCGCGATGTAAAACTGCAAAAGCGAACGCGATTTACTTGCAACATTTCGCAAAGTGCCCGTTTCATCAACTGATTATTGTTATTGAGCAAAACTTAACCAGGAATTTTAGAAACGGTACATTTTTCAAGAAATTTTTAAAATCTTAACGAAGCTAAAAAGTCATAGAAATCCCAACGATTCGTGAGTTTGCGAGAGAACGAAACGAATTATCAACAATCCAAAACATTCCGAACGTTAACAACAATCATTATCGAACGCGAAAATAACATCCTTCGCAAGGTAACGTACTGATTCAGTGGTAGCTCGCTTTCGAACGTCTATTTAGCATTCCGCGCATAACGATGCATAAATTAAATTAAACATTTCGAAAACATGCATTGTCGTCCGTTCTTGCGACACTCGCTATCTTATCTGTTCACCTCCAATAAAGCGATAAGGCGGAAATGTGACTGGTACTGGCGCGATAAGAGGCGTACAGGAGAGAAAAGTCTACGTGAAAAGGTGCGAATTAATTGAAAATCCATTGCACCTTTAGATGTATTCCTTTATTGCAACGGAATATAATGGTGAGGTATGATGATAACAAAATGTCTTCGTCCCATGCGATCAGGATTACCGTCGTCGGTGATGGTGATACTGGAAAGACGTGTATGTTGATTGTGTATAAAGATAAGAAATTCGATAATAGATATGTTCCAACTGTGTAAGTTATTATTTTTTTTTTGTATTTACCGGGGGTAGTTGGTAGATTAGTATAATCTTAAGGGTGCTGTAACTTGGAAAATGGGTCAAATAGCTAATTAGCAGGGCCCACTTAAAATACAATATTCAAAAATGTTTTGCATATTACATATGAAGTTGAAATGCCACTGGCCATTTATTATTTGAAATGGCTTTTGTTAAATTGTTTTTATCATATTATGATTTCTCATGCATTCAAACACCTCTCTTCAAATGTTCATTTCCGTACATCCAAAATCTTTCAAACTGCTGTTAAAAATCTTTTTTTTTCAACTTTGACACTCTGTATCTTTTTTATTTTCAATATTTTACTGAAGAAAGTTGGGTCAGGTCGTAATATTTTGAGGTCGAGAATCTTTCCCTTCACTTTGGACCATTACGGACCACCCTGTAAATACAATCTAAAAATGTTTTGCATAAAAGAATAAACAGTTAATACAACGAATTATTTGTAAAAATACTCATCAAAATTAGTTTCCAAAAGGCATAAACATCATTTAAAATTAACAATACAAACAATTTAACAAAAGACATTTGAAATAATAAATGGGCAGTGGCATTTCAACTATATAATATGCAAAACATTTTTGAGTGTGTGTATATATGATCAGGGACAATCTGTATATATGGAGTATATTTTTCGTAAAGAATCATAAATTACCTATGCAAATACCTACTAATTCCACAATTGAAATTTTGGTGTATAATCCCTACAATTAACAATTGTTACAATTTCAAAGGAATTTATCGTTTCTGGAACGTTCATAATACTCCATTATACAGTACGTACCCGAGATAAATTTGATTAAACATTAATTTTTTAATTCACTAAATTCAACTTTACCTCATTTAACTGAGGCACTAAAAAATTGGTGGAATATTTAGGCTAATAGTCAAAGATACTATCGGTCCAAACATTCCACCAAATATTAAAAATTTTACAAAACAAGTAATTCAATTAAATAACAAATTCTGACAGTTTTAAGCACTCATTTAACACAGGTAATTTGTTTTAGATTCGATGTATACTCAATGAATATTCCGATCAATGGGGTAGAATACAAGGTAATTTTATCGGATACGGCCGGACAGGAGGATTTCGATAAACTCAGAAGACTGGCATATAAAGACGTGAGTAGGTTAAAGTTGTCGTATAAAAAGTGCAGTATTCAACTGGTTGGGAAATGTTGATGTTTTTACCGCGTTTTTCAGGTAGACGTATTTATAGTTACTTATGCGGTTAACGAGAGAACGTCCTATGAAAACGTGTTCCTCAAATGGGCGCCGGAATTGAAGAAATTCGCACCCAAAGCGAAAATTATAGTAGCAGGTAATAAGGCTTTTCATTAAAAATGGCGCTGCGGAATTTCGTCGAATTCCAAACCTTTTTTATACATTTTTCCCCTAAGGGATGTAACAATCGCCCGCGGGGAAATTCCTAATTAATCGTGCGGGTTATGAATTTTTTTCCGCTTCCGCTCTTTTCACGATCGGTCACAATAGGCGGACGGAATTTAAGTTGAACTCCCGATTTCAGGCACCAAGCAGGATTTAAGGACGAATTCGCGGGCGCACGTCAGTCACGAAGAGGGCGAAGCCCTGGCGAAGGACGTGAACGCGCACGGTTTCATCGAAAACTCCTCGAAAAATATGAGTTTCATAGACGAAACTTTCCAAATGGCCATATCCGTGGTTGTTTACAATCAAAACTTCCTGAAAGCGAAAAGGAGAAGCCACAATTTGTGTATATGTTTGTAAATAAAAAAATCCACGAAATATTCGATAGATATTTTTCAGCTAGATATTAGAGTAATTAACTTGTTAATTATTGTTTCGTTACAATTTAAATTTGCACTCGATAAATTTTTATCTACACCTGTAAAATCGTAATTGCCAAACAACTGATAAAATATTTGATAGAATGTAGCAACTTCATCGTGTTGTTTTGTAATATCGCAGAAACTAGTAATTTTAATTTAAAAATTCATTACTGATTCTAGTTTTATAGAAGCAAGATAATCAAATATATTTTTTAATTTCCACACAATTACTCGTTTTATTCTACACATTGCTTAATTAATCACGAATGAAACAAATTCATGTCAATTTATTTCTCCAAATTGTATGATAATTATTAGCAATATTTTTACGTTAGGAAAATTTCAATCGTGTTTACTTTAGACGGGAAATTTTATTTTCGCGACTTTTCCGGAAAAATAATAGCCAAGTCATCCCTCAATCCACGACTTTTATCGATGTTTGATGAGCGTTCGATAAATTTCAGCTGAAGCAATTCGAGAGAGCACGTCCCACGACCTATAAAAATGTTAGTAGGTGTAAAGTTGTAATTGGAAATATAGGATTTCAATGGGGCTCTTATGACGCTCGTCAGGGCGGGTTTTCCGGAGAATTTTCCCGGTATCCTGCAGAATCTGCTGACGATTTTTTATAGAGCTCTATAGTAATGGATATCAGGATTTTTTATTCATTCATCCACGAGATTATTAACTTATGCGAGTGGATATTTTGCGTAACGAGTCGAATTTTTGTAAAAAAAATCCGGATGGAACCGGAATAATCCCTCTCGGGTAAAAAAGCACCGAAAATTTCGCGCCGTTTTTTCCAGAGATACCAGATCCGGCCCATCCCGCATCCCCATTAATCATTTTCGACAACTTTTAGAATGATTAACGATAATAAGATTATCAAAAGAAAGAACTGTACATTGTTGTTCGGGCGGCGAAATTCCCGCAAAGAAAAGGGCCAAACAAATTTTCCAACAACACCGAAACTCGTTCGCTCGTATTAAAAAGTGTTTTCGCCCCGAAATCGATTCAACAAATCGCCTATCTTTAATGCCGCTCGGCTTTATCGCCATGCTTTTAAACATTCGTTAAGTGCCACTTTATTGGAGATAATTGGTATTTACATCGCACGAATCATTTATTAACTCCATTAAATTTTAAATAAAATAAACGTTTAACTCTATTTTTTTTCCTCAACAATCAGAAGGATGCCGGAAATTTACATTGGTGGAATATTCAGGCCAAATTTTAACATAAAATACTTAAATATTCCACCAAGATTTCATTTCTAACTTCTGAATCAAACAAATCAGGTGATTAAGTTCCGAATAATTGGGGTAGTTTTGGAATTAAAAAAATACTTAAGCCGCAGGAGTAGCCCAGATAACCCTCCTGGCAAGCCGCAAGTATAACAAACTCCGGCTTAATCGGTCACCGAACAACTCAGCAAATAGGACAAGGAGTTTAACATGGGATCCCGCTCTGCGGCCTTGCTCTATTCGCTCCCGCTCTCGCTCTAAAATCTATCCGATAACAGTCAGCTTAATGACTCAGATAATGGTGAGTTATGGCGGATGTTACTAAGTGAATTATCCACCGAACGTTGTGAAATACAAAAATCGCTTCCGGCCGGCCGGTTGGTCGCGAAAATCGGCGAGTTTGTCTATCAATCGAACTGACTTTGCTGTCATTCGATCGCGATTAATCGATCGCCGTGTGCAATGGAAGAGGGCTGCGCGTTTTGCAGTTGCTTCAAAAAGGAGCTGAACAAGTGCGCGAAGAAGCCGCCCAAAGAAGCGCCGGGCTGCAAGGACCACCTGCACAACTGGGAAAGATGGCTGGACGAACGCAGGAAAATCAACCAGTCCCTATCGAGGCGCCTGAACTGCCCCAAAGGGGAGCTGCTCATGAACACCATCGAAGAGAAGCGGAAAATCATCGAGGAAAAAACGCTGTTCGTCAACGAGAGGAATTATGCTTACAACGATAAGTATCGGGGAAATCCCGAATGGTTCAATTTGCCGCCTAGATTGTACCAGTACTGCAGGAACGAGCCCATTATAGAAATCGTCAGAACCCAGGAAGAGATGAGGGAAATCGTGCCAATCGTTTACATCGAAACGCCTACGGATATTCTCAAAGAAAAGGATATCCTACCCAGAACCAGGTAAACTTCTCCAATCACCATAATAATCCAGGTGCCAAAATGGTATCTATCATCTTCAATCGGGATTTAATTTCTAAACTAACTTAGGAACCTCCTGCTGCGATGGCAAAAGGGCAGCTACAGGCAGCAGGTGTTCCAGAGAATCAGGAAGAAAATGCGATTCCTGGAGCCCCACAGACCGAAACTGTCTGAACTCATGGTAACAGGAACTTCCATAGGCGGAAATAAAGAGGCAAAGCAAGGCGGGTGCTTGCCGGTTTGTCCGAAAGATTCCTGCACAAAAAGACAGGAGTGTCGAGTTAACACAGTGGTCAGTAAACACGAGCCTCACGTAACCGAGGTGTGCCACAATTGCCTCGAAATGACCACAGCAATTCACTCGATTCCTATGATTGGGTTGAAGATCAACGGGAACGCGGTGACTCTAGCTTCGAAAAAAGGTTCCCCTGGGTAAATTCTAAATTTGAATGTTATAAGGTAGATTTTTGCAGAAAGTTTGAAGTTGATATTTTTGTTCCAATCCGACGTCATACCGCTCGTTCCGATGGAGAAGCTGGTGGTTTTGGAAAATATGGGATCGACCACGTTGAGGATACACTTCAAAAAAAAGAAGAAGTTTCCGATTTTCGGCGATATTATTCCCTATCGGAGACAAAGCTCGCCGTTTTTCTTCAACAAAAACGAGATTATCCTGTTGCCTTTCCAAACCATTCAGTTACCCATTTGGTTCAAGACGCCCAAAATCGGAAATTTCAACGAAACGTGGAATGTATCAACCCTACCAGAATGCTGCAACCATCCTATATACTTTTTCCTACAAGGTAAGCATAAATACGAAGAATTTTAGCTCTCACCTATTAAAATTTACTTTACGGAAGGAATCGTGCAAATCAGAGAGAACATACAAAAAGAACAACAGATAAAATCGATGATAGAGGCGAGAACGCGCTACACGCTGGTTAACGAAATGATTATGAATCTCATAGAAGACACGAAATCCGAGCAGCAGCCTACATTGACCTACTACTACACAGAGAAAGACCTATTCGAATCGATAAACATGGAGAAATGGGGCGTCGTGACGCGTCCCAAGTACTTCTACGTCAAAGACGTGGTGAACAAGCTGAAGGAATTGTACGAAACGGTGAAGAAAGCTGATGATCCGCCCGTTTGGGATTTGTCCCTTCAAACTCTGAAGGAAATCGTACGGAAGAGGGACGTATCAAATTACGTGGAGAGCTTGTACAAGGATTGCAAAAAGATGAAGGAACGAGCCGAGTACCTCAAGGATTTGTATGACAATCCGTTAACGGAATTTAAAAGTAATTATAACCTATCAAACAACAATATTCTTCTTCTTTCGTAATTTTCTTGACCGTTGGAACCAAATTGGAGTGATTTTTAGTCAGCAAGAGCAGCTCGAAAATGCTTCAAATGAGTACTCACTCGAACATCGATACCATCAAAAGCAACGAGCGCCTGGTGGCTTACGAGAATTACCAGAAATTCACGAAGCTGGTGCACCAGCTGACGCGCACAATGATGATCCCGAACAAAGACCGGCAGAAATACGCCATGGTGTATTTCATTTGGAGATTCTACATGGCGAAGATCGCCAAGGATTTGGGCGGTTACAACAGAAATTTCGCGGATATAGTGACGAGCGTTAATTATTACGAAATACAAGACGTGGAAAATTTACCAGAAAGGTGCGATATCTCGATGGAATCCTTCCATTTGTACCAGACGAACATTTCAGATTGATTTTCGAACGGTTCGACAACATTTGGACCAAACGCATGCGTGTGGAAAGATTCAAAACTGATTTTTCGAGGATCGGCAACTCGGACAAACGCAAACCCCCTTGCCTGGATGGCATATCGTTCGATAACGTGGAGGAAATCCACCAAACGTATATGGCCAGGAGATTATCAACAGATACAAAGAAGAAGAAGGAGAACAAGGACGAAGCGGTGACCAAGAGCAAGCTGAATTTGCACAAAATCAACGTAAGCTGTAGACCACAGAAAGCTCTACACGTGGAATATGATCGTTTCTTTTACAGTCTACTCCAGTGGTCGAGTACAATCCTTACATAGAAATACCGATGCCGCCTTCTCCGTTTCTCAAAAAACCGGAGCCCAACGAATCGGCGGGGAAGGTGCCCAATAACTCCTCACATTCCAGCCTCCATTCTACTAACAAGGACTACCAAGAGAGGTATCTAATTGTATATACCAATCTTTGTATGGCAGTCGATGCAATGGTAAGTATACATGTCAAATTGCTACATTTGGTGCTTCCAGATTCTTGTACTCATCATCTTTCACCAAACTTTACAGATACTAGATGATTGTTCCCGATGTTGAATTAATTTTTATATGTTAAGATAAACAGTTTGGAAACGATGGCGGAAAAGAACATCCCCATACCGACCCTGGGCGAGCTGGCCAGCTGTAAATTCGTCTCGATCGAGACAGTCTACAAGGCACAGTCGGGCTCCAAGCTGAGCTTGACCAGAAAGGAGTCCGATTATTACAAGTACCTGACCAAAACCTACATGGAGAACCCGAAGACGCTGGAGTTCTTCGTCAAAGGCAAGACCCTGCCGGTGTACGAGAAGCTGCAGGAGTTCTTCCAACGCAACACCTCCCTGGTGTCGGGCTGGGCCTCGCAGGAGTACTTGGTCGGCGGTAAATGTTGTTTATTGTCGCTTTCCGCGTGTTATTTGGTGGTTTGTAGAAGTCAAACAAGATGATTACGCCGACGTTGCGGTACAAACCATCGACACGAGGGAGGAGTTAGATCCGATATCGAACGTCCTGCTGAGAGTCGAGTCCGATGAAATACGAAGGGACAGCTCCGACGAGCGTATGATGCACCACGATTACGGCGATGCCGACAAGGATGAGGAAGTTTTCTATATAGTCGATAGCAATGAGCGCACGCCAGAAGAAGAGTCAGTGCAGGACGATAGCAAAAAGTCCTTGTGGTAGATTAGAAACTAATAAAATTGTACGGAATTGTAGAAATAATAAACACATGTTCTATCGCAGAAACGTATGTTAAAAATTGGATTTCTCTGTGTTTCTAGATCTCCTGCTGCAGGTCTTTATATTGGGTTTCCATCGTAAAATTCCGAGTGCAGTTAGGCGAACTCGGCGATTCCTTTTCGATCCGTTCGAAACAATTCCATTTTCCGCTGATATAATATGCCAGCGCAGTATTTAGATTTATGGTTTCCCATCGGAGCCGAATTCGCGATTTCGACAGCGCCGGGCCATTTCCACTAAATGAAATTTAGATTAAAGTTCCATTAATTCGACTAAAAAAATTCCGACAGTCTATATACATTGATTCGAGACCGTAAATATTCTTTATGGCGACGAAAAGGAGGCTTCGAAGTGTCCCGAGTCATTATCAACTCCACAACTCCCTCTTTCCATTTTCCGGTTTTATTATGCATGTTTTATATGGGAACGTTCGTCGCGTTAAAAGGATTTCAAACGGAGAAACGGGTGAAATTCGTAAATGAAGACTAATGTAAACGCCGTTTGCACGAATTAACCGGTTTAGTTTGGCTTAATTGAAAATTGATTTTCCGGCTTGCCAACGACGATATGGCAAAAGGGAAATGAGCAAAGCACGTTTTTTAATTATGAGAAACTCCTGTATGCATCCTTAATATAAAACGTATAGCAAATTGAAATATATAGGATGTGCCATTTAATAAAATATTATACTCCGTTCGCTATCAGGAGACAGGCAGTAATAAAACCTTCACGAGGCAAACCTCTATTACACCATGGGATTTATAATTTGATAAATAATAACTAACAAGTAATACGAACATTAATATGAAATGGATTACTTTCAATATTGCTCTAAAGTAATTATTCTAAAGTAATTTTTCTAAAGTTGTAACACCCTGTAGCTCGATATAAACATTTCTTCTTAAAACCATCCAAATATTCACATCCCGAGCTATCGACACTCAATTAATTAACACCCTGCATATAAAAGAAAATGATTTTCTAATATACAACATCGTATATCTAAAGTAGAAAGAATTATTTGTACTTTGAAACCTACATTCCAAGAAAAACGCATAAAAATTGGCCAAAGGATAACATCCAATCGCCCTCGTAGCGTTTTTATATTTGATAAAAATCCCTTTGGCAAAAATCCCCAATTTCTTGCGACCTATTACGGTAGAATTTGGACCGAATATCCCCGTACATTTCCTATCATTATTCGAGCGAGAAAGCTCGACCTTTTGTACCGCTCGCCGTATTCCGGGTCCGGTTCCACCGGAACATGTGCTCGTCTGAGATCCCTTTATACGCGCCGTTGTCGTCGCGGTGCAGCCGCAAATATCGCAACGGATTGCATCTCGCCGCATGTACGCGAAACGACCTAATTTATTCATCCGTCGCCGGAGTTTTTTCTGCGGGACGCGCGCGACTTCCGGCCGCTCCGACCGGATCATTTGCTCTCGCCGCGAAAAAGCGCCCCGGCAAAAAGTGAAATATCGCGCAATCGTCGCTCCTGCGAAAAATACGGATGGAAATTCCTTTCCTTTATTTACGCTGATGAAAAACTCCTCTATACTAAACCTACTTACACAGCGATAGCTGCACAAAGTCTGTTTTTTACGACCCCATCCGAAATTATTGCGCATTAACATCGCGTCTCTTGCTATTCCGACTGCACTGTAGGAACGTTCTAGAATCATTTAGAATGCTCTAGAATCATTTACAATGCTTCACAATCATTTAGATCTGTCTAGAATCATTAAGAATGCTTCAAAATCGTTTACAGCGTTTCAGAATCATTTAGAACTGCCAAAAATTATTTAGAACGTTCTAGAATCATTTACAATGCTTCACAATCATTTAGAACTGTCTAGAATCATTTGGAACGCTTCAGAATTATTTACAACGCTTTATAATAATTTAGAACTGTCTTGAATCATTAAGAATGCTTCAAAATCATTTACAACGTTTTAGAATCATTTAGAACTGTCAACAATCATTTAGAACGTTCTAGAATCATTTACAATGCTTCATAATCATTTAGAACTGTCTAGAGTCATTTGGAACTGTCCAGAATCATTAGGAACGCTCCAGAATCATTTAGAACTATTCCTATACCCGAAATTAACTCGATCATGTAGGAATCGAAGTTTCGTGATTAATAGGGATTCGATTTTATGTGTCCGAAAAAATGAAATATAAAAAGAAAAACCGATGAAAGATTAAATAAGCGATTTTCGGATGGAGTTTCCTCCGGCTTCTCGTCATATATCCGTCAAAATAGAAATATGGGGGGCGCATGCAGCGAACCCGAATCGATTAAGTGGAAATTTATGCCGACCTCGATGAGATATTAGCGATTTGTTCGAAACTAGCTTTCGGAATCTTTGTCGGAATCAATTTTGACGCGTCGTGTTTTATTGCGATCGCTTATTACACCAGAATGGAATATCCATGATTATAATTATTACACTAATGATCATAAAAAAATTGTTCGCTCCTCTCTCTTTTAACTCTTTCTTCAGATGGTTTTTACCCGATAAAATTTACGACAGCATTTTTTTTTGTTTTCTGCAACGCGCAATCTAATTTTCTAGTGAACTTTGGAAGTTCCTCTATTACTAGATATTTTTGGTGGAATATTTAGGCTGAATTATCTTACCTGCGAAATGGACCTTCTCGACGCGAAACTTCTCGGTTCCGGGCAGCACCAGCTGCGAATAGGCCAATTGCACCCCGTGATTGAGGATGTGCACGAGCACAGCGCAGGTGGCCACGACCCACCCCCAGCCGCCTTCGGGGTAGTAATGCCGGCGCAAGGTGGTGGTTTTGCGGGCGTCAAGGGGCAGCTCGGGCGGCAGCAGGGAGTCCTTGGTGCCGTTGGTGCCGATGCGGCCGTTGGGGGAACCCAGCGAATAGTGGTGCACCGGACATTTGTCCTGTAAGGGAGAAATTTATGAAGGAGACATTCATAGGGTCATATTCAAAGGGGTTGTTAGACCCCTTGGAGTTGAGTGAGGATGGTACTAATTGGTGGGTGTTATGATAAGATATGAGGTTGTGTGTACTGAAAATTTCATCTCCCTAGCTTGGCTAGAGCTTATTTTATAGAGCTTCAAAGACTGTGATAATACAGGGTGTGTGTTTGGGTGAATGCATAAATGTAATGATTTACCACCAAAAAAATGTAAAAAATTTGGTCTCTTATTATAATGTCTTTGGGTAAACTAGTACTTTAGAATCAAAATTATGTAATAATGTATTTCCACATAAAAAAATTTCTCTACATCTCCCTTCTCGTAGCTACAGAAACATTTTCCGCACATCGAATTCCCTTCGTCCCCCATCCGAAATTATTCACCTTACACTAAGTGGAGTTCCGCTCCCTTCAATGGGAGTTTGTTAACTCGATGAAAGGTTCACTCACCTGCGCCTCCGGCCCCTTTTCCGTGTAAATGAAGTCCCAATTGTCGACTTTGATGCTGGGCCGGCGGCCCACCGAGGCGCCCCCGCCGTCCCGGCGGAACCCGCCGCCGGCGCCCGCGTCCTCGTCGACGCCGGTCTCCTCGATGCGCGCCAACGCGAGCACGTGGAACTTCTGGACGGTGCCGTCACCGGGAGGCGGCGATTTCGGCGAGCTTTCCTCTATCGCGAAAAGCACAAAGAAACGTTTGATTGGATTATTTTCGAAAAATGTTATAATTTAGGGTTAATAAATAATATGTAGAGATTGTTAGTTAAGAGTTGGTAAGATAAGCTTCTACTCGGGAAAAGTTTCTCGTTAACTTTAATTCAAAAACGCACTCGAATGTTTCGGGCTCCGTGATATTTCTATTTAGACAATTTATGTTTGTTCCATTAAGTTTGTTCGCAGGGGAATTTTTATCCCATTTAACCGTAGCTCAATTTATTAGGGTCTTATAAATCCTCGGGCCTCTGATGGCCAGATTCCTCCTGTTTTTACAGTATTTAACTTTATCGGATAGATTAAGATGGAGCGAGTTGTAAATTTCGTTTGGGCCCGATTACACGGAAAGTTACTTTTTCAAAATCTATGGAGCACTGTTAAATTTGTGAAAATTTCGGGAACATTCGGAACTGATAGTAAATAAAGCTGCAGGAGTGACTGGTTTACTCATTTAGTCGTTACAAAATGAACTAGAAATGAATTTTTAACATTGTTAGGGGATTCACGGGAGGTTCGGTGTCTCCTTTACGAGCGCTGTAATTTTGCAAATGTAATTTAAATGGCTAATCGTCTGGCGTGCGGATGAATTTTAATTATTTCGACGCGTTGAATGCGTTAAAATCGCCGCGATAGAATTATAATCAAAATTGCGATTAATAACGTGCCCGTAAATCGCGAACACTTTCCACAATACCCGGCACTTTCCAAACCGCATAATTATATATAAATCTAACGTCACGAGAGCGTCGGCGTATATTTTCTAATTCGGACATACAAACGAAAGGATAATAATTATTTGTAACTGCAGCGGGAAGTGTAATGAACGACCTAATTCTTTTTGGGTTAAAAAAAATTCTCGTCGTTTAATTGAGTAGAAAAGCAATTATTCGGATAAAATTGGCCTGTTATGAAGCGCAATGTTGCACAGCACACAAACCGTTTCCTTTAAAACTCTATTCTTCGGGGATTCCATATCCTTTTTCTTAATTACTCTCGCTGAAGACTGATCGTTTAGCTTCAATAACGAGCGCATTTTTGCTTTGTCGTTTTCCTGCTGTTCGGGGCTTAGTTACATCGCAATTTCCTTTTCTGCAGCTAGTTAGTTTTTTACTAATTGCGCGAGTTATAAGCAAAGACCGAGGATTTTCTCGTTGGAAATTGAAATGTAAAAAAATGTACTATTTCTATCCAGTCGTTGCTAAATATACAGGGTGTTGATTAATGCGAAGTTTGTCGCACTTATTAATTAACACCCTGCAAATGCAGTATAATATGCTTAAGTTAATCTATCTATGACGTTATCACCTGGTTAAAATGAATAAGATTTTTGATGCGATTACGTCACTCCTCTCTATATCTATTGGATCGTAAAGATGGCCCCGGTGCTTTGTTTGTGTTTATAAAGCAAACATATTTTTCCGGATTTGCCGAGTTATTTTAAAATTCTAATTTATGGCTTCAAAAATACGAGCGCATCGTCTCTTTATATCAAAACAATCGCCTTTTAAAATGCATCGAATCTTCCGGTCAGTTCTCGGACTTTTTTCAGACAATACCCAATTCGCTTTTGTAAATAAATAAATAAATAAATAAATAAGTAAGGAAATATGGAAAGATTCCAATCGATTGCGAAGCGCTTAAGAAATGAATAAACGAACAGTCATCTGTCAATTTCACGGGAAGTCTACAGCATTGTTTGTTTTCCGGTTTTCCGGGATTTTTTTTAATATTTTCTGCAAATAAAGCTATAACTACGTGCCCGAAGGAAAATTCCAAGCAAACAGCAATAACCCAAAAGCGCAAGAAGCTTTTAATTTAAAATTGCTACTAAAAAATTCAATTCGTCCACTTTTATTACGAGGCTAATGCCACATTTCATTAATCACACTCAATTTATTACGAGGGACGTTCAATAATTCATTAATCACCTCCACAACTGAGGCGCCTCTATTACAAGGGTAGCCCGATATTTAATCAATCGAGGCATATTCAATACGAGGGCGGTTCGATAATTGAGACTTACCGCAATTTTCGTTTCGGTCCGAATCGAATTCGGCGGGATCCAAAATGGTAGAGACGGTGTCGGTTCGAACGGTTTTCGGCCTGGACGACATCCTGGCGAACAATTCCAGACGGACGAACTCGTCGCGTGCGGTTAGATGCGAATCCTCCGGCGGTTTCGGCGCTTCATAGGGCCCCGTGGCGGTGGCGTCTTCCCCAGGGGGCGGCCGCACTCTCAGCTGCACCACCGCCATCGTGGCGACGGGCCAGGTCTTGCTGTGGCGTAGGGTCATTTCGGCGCGATGTCGCGGTCATGTTTCTGGAACAAGGGGGATGATTAGGCGCGTAAATAATGCAACAATGTCCGGGGGACGGCTTGTCTTGCGTGTATACGTTGTAAATTATTCGGCGCACTTTGTACAGTTTTACGACTTCCTTTTTGGAAAATCTAATACCTGAAAGAGCGGGGGAAGAATTCAATCCGATGAAGTTTTCCTAAGAAAGTTTTCGATCATAAAACGATAGCGATAGGATCGTAAATTATGTTTGAAAACTCGCCCGTAACCCCGATATGCAAAGCACATATGAACAAAACTTATATTTGCTGAATTTATATAAAATGAATGTGTAGCACTAAAAGAATTCGCATGTAACAATAAAAGTGCAAATTTTATGTTTACGATGTCGTTTTGATAGTATTCTTGATTAATTGGTGGAATAATTGGGTAGACTATTTTACCTAAATATTCCACCAAACTTGGCTCATATAACATGGATTTTTTTTAATATTGGTATCTTCGATCGAAATTTTATTTCGCCAGACGTATGAATTAACTTTTTATATTTGCTGAATTTATAAAATTAATGTGTAGCACTAAAAGAATTCGCATGTAACAATAAAAATGCAAATTTTATGTTTATATGCCATGTCGTTTTGATAGAATTTTGACTAATTGGTGGAATGATTGGGCCGACTAATTTACCTAAATATTCCACCAAATTTTCTTCCATCACACCGTACGAATTCGGTTCATTTTACGGATCGAACGTTCCGATGAAAAACAGTTAAAACGGGTTATGACGAGCCGTATCTCATCTCTAATTGCTGACCGCTCTAGACTCTAAGTTTTAGTACCGGAAATAAAATTTTGTTGTTATTTGAAAAGTTCGCTCTCGCATCGCCGGCCGTAAATCGTCGATTATATTTCGCCGAACCCGCGGCTCTCCATCCATGACGAATAATAATCGCGCGAAACAGCGGGTTCGGCTTTCCCCGACGAATTTTCTTCAGCAAAAACTATTATTACCCGATTGCTCCTTTTATTTCTTACCAAATAACATTACACGAACGTTCGATGTTTGTTGCTACGAGGGGAGCTAGATCAGTCAAATACGAGGGTAGTTCGATATATACCTAATTAATCAGATTCAATTGAGATACATTGCGTGATTTTAAACCTTCTGGAAGCCGCCCAAATAAACTTTGTGTTTGGGTTCACTCGAGTTTGGTAAGAGACAATAAAAGCTCACTTTACGGGGCATTTACAGATCGGATGAGTACTTACCCGAAATAATAAAGTCGCCTAAATGACAGGCGAGCCGGCGATTTTTCCGGATTTTATCGTCGAGATCCATTTTATATTGAAAGTAAACGCATAACTGACACATAAATCCCCGACAGGACCCTCCGGGAAGGTCAATATCAAGCGGTCGCCGTATAATAAACCTCCCGATGGCCCGACTGACAAATTGCCAATTGATTTTTTTTTTCGCCAACGACTTTCGCCCGCCATTCGCACACTCCTCTTTTTTCTTCACCTTCTAATAAATATTCCTATGACGTCCGACGGACATGCGGCTTGCGCTGGATCTACTTGCATTATTCAACGAAATTAACTTTTATGAAATTCCACTTAGCGTGTACAGCAATATCACTGCCATCGCTATTTACGAACTAAAACTTAATTGTAACCGGCACAAGCGAAATCGGTGGAATATTTAGGCTAATATTTGCCCTAAATATTCCTCCAAAAATTAAAATTTCGAGGAAATAATTTCCCTTCTAAAGTAACGTGGCGTTTGTGCATATTGCGAGCATAACAAATCGCCGGAATAAATCGAGGCGAATAAGCGGGCGAAAGTCGCGAAAAATTCATTCGAAAGGACAAGTTTATCCGAGGGAAAGGAAACAAAGAGCATACGACAGGAAAAGCGTCGAGGTACATTTTAGAAAGCCTACGATAAGAAATTTTCCCGTATATTTTATTTTTGACAAATTCCTCAATCATATAGCACGAAATCTAATAGAAAATATCCCCAATCGAATTTTCGAGGAAGGATTTATTTCCAAACGGATCCAATACCGTAGAAATTTGGAATTTCCCGATTTAATTCGGAGGGGATTCGCTTGTAAGTAATCCCGACAATATTCGACTTGTCAAAGCTCGAAAGAGCAATTAGAGAATCGCTAAACAGGGCGTGAGAAATACGAATTAATATACCTAATAGGAATTAGATATTAACACATCTACAGGAAATACCGGTTAATTACGACTAAATTAGATATCTAAGGACAGTTTTAACAAAAAATGGAGCTTTTTAGACTTTTTCTAGGCGGTATCCATCGAATCTCGGCATCAGGATCAGGTGGAAAATAACAGGGAGATAATCGTCGAGGAGTAATGGACTGTCAAAGTTTCGAATGGTGACGCAATCAGGAATCCTTTGTACTTTACGTTGGAATCCGACTTGGGAAAAGCCATTCGAATAATATGGGTCGATTCGTACGGGAGGACCTGATTAAATTAACCCTCTCCGATAGGGGATATTCGATCTTTCCGGTTCTAACAAATTTTTAATCACGGAACAATCATTTTCTCGCTCGACAGTCGCTTATTGTAATACTTTTGCTGATGCATAAAACGAGCGAGGGGATTTATTGTTCCGTGCGTGAAACTGCTAATAAATGGGAAAACAATCCGCATTGTAAAAATGCTTAACCCAGATATCCGGGGCTTTTATCTTAATTAAAAACATGACGATTGTATCCTAATGGGCGAGTAGACAATCTTGGCGTTTTTCGCTAATGTAGATTTATGGTAACGATTATTCAAGCACGATGAAACATGAAAGAATTTCGGTTAATGTTGTTTTCATTTTCTCGTCCGGGGAATTCGGAATTGATTAAACGATTGATCAATTCTGCGAATATTTAATCGATTTCTCCGCATTTACCAGCATTATTTCCAAACAAAATGAAATATTTGACTTTTTTGATGTGTCAAAATGTCAAATGTCAACAAGCTGTCAAAAGTGAGTTGATTAATAACGCAAAATGGCGAAGCGATTTTTGTTAACATAATTTCGGGATTCATTATTTATGTATAATTTCAATTTCGCGGTGATTATCCCATTACGAATTTTCGACATAAAGCATATCAGCTTTCGAGTTATAATTATTTTATCTTTCATCCGATGCGAATTTATTCATATGGACGTCCATATTCCGCGTCTACTCAATTTATGCCATATTTATCTCGATCGAAAAGTTTCGTACAAATTGTATCTAAACGGGCAATTTGCGCTAAAAGATGTTTATCGGTTAATTTATTAAACATTTCGCCGCGGTTAAAAAGTTTCTCCCGTTTAAACCTATCTCGAATTTTGCGTTTAGCTCGTAAAAATCCCCAATTTATTCGCTATTAGCTGTTTTCCTCTGTAAGGGATCGGTTTTAAAGGAATTTTTTGAGACATTTTTACGATTTCACCTTCGAAATATATTCATAAATTTTTACCAAGAGGGTTTAAATTAGCTAATAAATAAAAAAGCACGAATTAATTAGCGATTTTCATATCGTGCTCAATTTTGTTATCGTGTTTACTGCATCGAAATACAAATAAAAGTCGGAAATTCTCTATCGAATAAAGCACATTTCCCGGTAAACAAAAACATGCTAGTATACCTACTCACAAATTGGACGATTTTGTTTTCATAAATAGAGCTTTTAATGTGTTTACATTCAAATATTGTTTCGTTCGAACGATGAACAGTTTTATTCGCTCGAAACCCGCCCAACAACTAGCCATGTTGAAATTCAAAAAGATGAAGAATACAGTCCACGCGCCGGTAATTAACCGGGAAAAGGAAATTAACTTGCATACTACGCATGGATGTTTGAGGAATTTGCTTATACTCGGAAAAATCTCGTTAGTTTTTCCCGTGGAAGGAATAGAAGGCAAGGATCCCGGTAAAATACAATTCAAATTCATCTCTTTGAAAACTTTTCTAAGCGTTATATTTCTAATAAGTACATCTACGTGCTTTTTATTATCCATTGTGAAAAGCCTTACCAGTAGAAACACAATGCAGAGATTAAGTAAGTATAATTAATAGATACATAATTTAAAAATTAGATAAAAATGCGCGTTCCAATTTTATTTCAGTATCTCCTCTATATTATTGCCATATCGCAAGCGTGGCATTCTTGAATTTGCACTTATCGCGGAAATGGAAGAGATATGTAACGACCATACACGCAGCAGAGTTGAATTTTCTCAAGAATTACAAACCGGATAAAAAATTAAAGAGGAAAATCCACGCGACGATCGCCATTGTGATTTTAGTTGGATTGTGTAAGTCGATATATCGATAAATATTTTGCGGGGTTCAGGGTTTGTTACGAGCGAGGTGCAAAATCTACTGAGAAAAATTGATATTGAGGATCTTTGTAAACTTTTTAGGTCAGTATTCTATAACTGAAGCTAATTTCGCCATTTCACACGACTGCTTGAACGAAGGTGCAGGATTCGAGCAATTAATTAGAAAACAATATCATTATATTTACGATTATATCAATTACAACGTCTTCAATGGAGTTTTTTTATTGGTATGTACATTACCAAAAATTACTATTTAATCTTAAGGGAGAATTGTTTTTAGATTCTCAGTTTTGCCTCGACTCTAGCATGGAATTTCGGTGATCTGGTAATCATTACAATAAGTATAATATACACGAGCAGATTCAACCAAATTGTGGATAAAATTAAATGGTACACATCCTACAAAAACCGCAATGCTTCGATTTTTTCGAAAGAAATAGAGGTACAAATTTCAAATCACTAAAGATTGAGAATTTTTCGAGGAATTGGCAACGTTGCAAAACTTTGAAATTCACAGCCAACTTCCTCAAAAAAATCGCAATCTTTCACCCGCAATTAAACTCGGAACATCGGACGTAAAAGGATTTGATTGGAGATTATTTTCCTTTGTAGAAATTGCACGATACATTTTGGCGGGATTCGAGACGGGACTACGCTCGAATGCAGCTACTTTGTTCGACGACGAGCGACTTATTCGGCATACTAACTCTCATTACGTACAGTTTTAATACGATGTTTATTCTAATCCAGCTCTTCGTCAGCTTGAGGTCGGCATTCGGGAAATTTAATTAATGCCGCGTTCGTCCGTAAAAAGCGGAATTTCCCCGCTCTCCGAGAATCGAATTAAATTATTTATTTACCCCAAGACGGCGCGCGCGCCGACGTACAATATCCCATTAAAATTAAATTAAATCAAACTGTAGAAACTTCACTTAGCGCCCGATTTAATGAATTATGCAGAAGGTCAGATGTTTCGGCAAATTGCCGTCATCAGGCCCGAGTTTACAAACATCATATTCGGCTGATTGCTTTAGTTCGTGCAGAATCTTAGAGGGTAGCGTATGGAAGGGTTAACTTGCCGCACAAAACATTAATATGCGTGAAATAATTTATATAAAATTCCCCTCGTATAGTACGTTCAAGATAACCTGGCAGTGACGCCAAGAAGTCACGAATTTAACAATACTCTAATATGGGTTAAAATTAGTTTTTGTTGGTGCAAAACAAATTTTTAAGTCGAATATTCTAAAATTGTCAAATGGCAAAATGACAAGAATTGAAAATTAGGGGTACCTGTTTTACACAGGGACCTTTAAAAGAGTACATAGTGAAATTTCTGAGAAAACTTCTGAATCAGAATTATTTTGAGCTCAAAAGGTGTCATTTAGTCTTTAGTAGTTGAGGCTAGTAAACTGGACAGTCAGTGCCTACCAACCTACCATAAGAAAATAATAATAATTTTATATACAAACGTTGAATTTTGACAACATATATTTTTTTGGATGATTTAATTCTGCTTTTTAACATTTTCTATTATCCCTTATTAATATTAAATTAAATTCTGCAGGTATTAAGCTCAATCTATTTTGTGTATTTATTTTTAAAAGTTGGTCACAATGCTTGACGAGTATGACCGCAGTAGTGACGTGCATTGATATTTGTTTTGCACCAACTGTAGATAAAATTCCCCTTTTATAGTTGAAATATTACCAACTTAACAATACTTTAATATGGGTTAAAATTAATTATGTAATGGTTGTTTTTTTGTTTGTCTTTCAGGCCGCGTGAATATTTAATCGAAATATTGTACTTCATTTCCTCGTTTTCGTTTGTAGTAGGTAGAGCTGTCATGAGCTCAATATATGGCGGTTGGTTGTACGAGGCTGGAAGAGCCGCCTTACCCATTATAAATGCCGTTCCAACGGAAATGTATACAGAGGAGGTTAGTGGGAAACATAATTAGGGCTAATTCCAACCGAAATTCTAAAGATAACAATATACCAGGCGATTATAATCGAGTTGGTAATACTGCAATTAATTGACATTTTGTGTGATTAACAAATCAGCGTTACCAACCAATTTTTCCACTAATTGCCAACATCCTAAGGAAAAAGTCCCCAATTATTTATAATCGTCTCTTGGTAGTTCGGATGGACTCGAACGGTGATTATTAAATTTAAAAGCACCTATCTGCTTAAATGAGAGTAATTTTCAACGTTCGCCCTATTACCCTATTTGCTCGATCCCATTACTTAAATACGGCAAAAGTTTGCGAATTTCATTTCTGTTGTTTTATCCTCCTAATAAAATTTCAATTCAAAACGGGGCATTTAGCCTGGAATTCGGAATTTCATTTCGATTTTCTCGACGTTGCTGATGCAGTTAATAAAGTCCGATTTCGATATTGAACGGACGGAAAATGAATCGTAAAATAGGCTTGTAAAAGAACCGAGAAACGGGCTGTTTTGCTATGAAAAAATAAAACTGGCCGAAATGATTTCGCTATCAAAAGAACAACATCAAAAGAGACACGAAATTTATTACCTTTTCGCAGATATGTGCAGTAATGAAATAAAAATAAAACAAACTAAAAGAAAGAGCCATATTTTTAAAGTGATATAAATAGCTTTTGATACATTGTGTTACTTTTCTTCCGGATAATAAAAGTACTATACTCTTTCCAACTACAAGCTCGCATTATCTAATAAAAAAAAATAAGAGAGTGACTATAAATAATTGTCTTTGGGAATATACATTTTTTTAATAGTTAGTAATGCTAAAGTTGGTTATATTGACGTTAATAAATCAATATCACCAAAACAACCATTACCAACTTATAAAAAATGTTCATGTAAAATACTCGATCTCGATTATAAAATTCATTATTAATCGATACTTCTCGATAGAAATCTAAACTCAAATTTTAATTCATGTTTTAGGCGTCCACTTTTATCAGCCAAATACAAATGAGCAGCCCCTATCTCACCGGACGTAAATTCTTCACCATCACCAAGGGAATAATTTTAAGCGTAAATATTTAATCTAAGTAACTGAAAGAAGAAACTTTAAGAAACTTTCTTAAAACCTTCATTTTCCGCACAGGAAAACTTCTCATAATAGAACAATTTTTCCATTTAATCGGCAATAATTAAAATGACATCGTAGAACATGATGTTGGTAAAATCATTGACATTTGACATACAAATTAATATTTGACTTATATATTGACGTTTGACGTATAAATGAACATTTGAATTAATAACTACATATTTGTTTCAGATTGCTGCATCGATTATAACATTCGAGCTCGGTTTAATTCAGTTCAATCAATCGGAGATTGAGCGATATTTGAGTACTTCTAATGTTACTATTTGTTACTAAAAAAATCATTTTAAATAATAATAATACGCTGCGATAAAGTAATTAAACTTGTAGTAATATTTCGACTGATGTCCGGGATATAAATCACAATCATTCCGCACAATTCTTCGATCCTTTTGATGCGCCTTCTTTAAAATAGAGAAATTGACACCTCGCCGAAAAATCGGAAAAAAACAAATTACTTCCAGCAGAACGGTTAGTTGGAGAGAATGACCCAAAAATGCCTTTCAAATTCTAGTTCCCCTTACATTATTCGGCACTTCTTGCACTCTTCTCCTAAAGAATCAATGGAGCTTCCATGGAATGAAACCCTCGCACTAGAATAGATTTATCGCCGTATATGCGTGTTTTTGGCGTTTATTCATTGCTCTCGATCTTATTTAACCCTTACAGCCGATCCGGGCGATATTTTTGAGGGTGGGATTTATGGTAATAAATCCCAGAAGCTCATAAGACTTAAAAAAAACTTAGAGATAAAAATGATTCGGGATTGTCATTAAACAGGGTGTTCCAAAATGACATGACAATATTTAAGGGGGTGATTCCTGGACCTATTATAAGGAAAAAACTTCACATGAACCTATGTCCTAAACGTTTTAACTTTTGAGATGCAGGGTGTTAAAGTTTTAAGAAAAATATCAATTTTTTGTAATGAACTGTGATACTATTGTAGATATCTTTATGAAATTTGGAACACGTCTTCTGTGAAATTGAAATAAAAGTTATTTTTGGAATCCTCATCATTCAATTTAGTACAAATTTGATTTCTTGACTTTTTTTCCGTACGACTCATTGTTTCGCATTAAAAAAATAAATACATTTATTTGTACGCTGCCGGTACATTGGCCGATAATGTGCTAAAATTAAAAAATAATAAATTTCAGGTTTAGGACATATGTTCATAAATATAGGTACTTTTATTACGTTATTATGCAATTACTGAATCAATCAGTGATGGTTTGAAGTTTACAGGTTTTAATCAGTGATGATTGATTACTAAAGGAGGGATAAGAAGATGCAAAAAAATGGTAAAAAAGTAGGTATGAAAACCCCAGAGATTCCATTCTTGTCGTTCCATCTAAGTCACGTTTAGGTTCATGCTCGTGACTATGTTAATTCCACTTAAACTCTGCTCAATTCGTATTCTACCTTTGCACAGCGCTTTATAATATCCGATATTTTTCTTAATTTCCACTTTTATAGCCCAGACGGGAGCCAATCGGGGCGAATCAGCCCGAATCACAATCGAATTCAAGTGTATAAAATTAATGGGAAAAGCTCAAAATGTTTTAGTGTAGTATTTAGAGTTTCATCCCCTATTTAATTTTGGTTGAAATTGATTATAAAGGCGTATGAACTCACTCATAAAGAAGTCAAAAGCGACATGAACTATAGCAAAACAACTCAACTCAACCGTAACAAGAAGATCTACACAAAAGAAAAGTTCCAAAAAAACATTCAAACATCCCTAAAAAAACTCGATTACAAAACGCCCCCTTACCTTTATCCCCTTTTTTCCACCAGAACTCGACCCGCACGCAACAAATTCTCGTTCGCAAAACAAACGCACTCGAGTCGGAAAAACTCCAGTCAACTTTTAATCGTATGTTACACACCGAATATATCCCCGAAACGGAAAACTTCCCTACGTGCCCTTTTCGAAGGGACTTCGCGCTGGCGAACGCCTGTTGCACCGCCGGCCGAGAATCGTCACCCCGAGGGCGGACATGGCGCGATGGAAACTGCGAAACTGCACTTGGAAAATAGTCGGAAAAGCGCGATTAAAGCCCCGGCCGTCCCACGTGGCGACGTGGGCGGTGCGGGCGCGCCGCTTCCATACGAGGAAAATCAAAATCGCGCGGCCCACGCGGACTTTTCGCGACGTCTTCGTCTTCGCCGGAGGTCTGCTGGGGATTCTGATGAGGCTCCGAGACGGAAACTTATTATTTATGATTTTCATTAGCGACGGTTTGTAATAGCGAGATTTATAATGGGAAACGAGGGTGGAAAAACCGTCTACTATCTCGCTATAGTGGCATCCAAAATATTCTATGTATAAGTGGAAAATTTTAGATTAAATGCCGCTAAATTACACAATTAATTTAAGTAGGTACAATAATAGAGTAGGTACCTACTTAAGATCACGAGCAGTTTATCAGAAAATAACATAGATAATGTATAGATATAAATATGCAACTATTAATTCATTTAACTCAAATTATTAAACAGATTTTTGGTGACAACCTAAAATGAGTTTGCTCATTTTTTTAGTGCTAATACTATCAATCGGGGCCTCTAGGTAAGCTTAAATTTCACAAAAAAATTAAATTTTCCAATCGTTATTAAATTCCCACAGTGCTTCTAATGCGACGAACAACAAGCGCTTCCCGGAGAATTTCCTCTGGGGTTGCGGCACTTCGGCCTATCAAATCGAAGGTGAGCTCCACATTCACCAAAAAAACACACTTCGAAATTGTATAAACCACGCTTTCAGGAGGATGGAACGCCGATGGAAAAGGCCCAAGTATTTGGGACAACATCACCCACGAAAACCCTAATTTCATTAAAGACGGCAAAAACGCCGACGTTTCAGCGGATTCCTACCACAAATACGAAGTAGACATCGCCATGTTAAAGGAACTCGGCGTGAACTTCTACAGGTTCTCCATATCCTGGCCCAGAGTACTACCAACAGGTAAAAACACAGCCTCAACAAAACCAAATTCCACCTCCAGCACTCCAAACACTTAAGTCATTTAACCATCAATCCTCCGCAGGTTTCCCCGATAACGTAAACCAACCAGGCGTGTTGTACTACAAAAACCTGATAGCAGAATTGAGATCGAACGGCATCGAGCCGGTGGTAACCATGTACCACAACGATCTGCCGCAAACGCTGCAAGATCGCGACGGCATCAAGAACCCCGACTTCGTCGACTGGTTCGCCCAGTACTCGAGGTTCTGCTTCCAGACCTTCGGCGACGACGTCCACTACTGGCTGACCATCAACGAGCCCTACGTCGCTTGTACGATCGGCTTTTACTCCGTGGTGTACGTCGATGGGATCGACGATTACGTTTGTATGAAGAACTTCCTCCTAGCCCACGCCACCGCTTGGCACATTTACCACGAGGAATTGAAGATGAAAGGTAGAGGTAGATGGTTTCGAATAGACTGGTAAATAATCGGATGGTTTGTAGGTAAAGTAGGTATCGTGTTGAATTCCAACTGGTTCGAGCCGGAGACTAACAGCACCGAGGATTTGGAGGCTTCGGAAAGAACCATGCAGTTTATAGTAAGAATAAATTTAACATCTTCGATGCTTTGCACATCTAAGATCCTAATGTAATTAATTCCAGTGGGGGTGGTTGGGTCATCCCTTGTACAAAGGCGACTACCCGGAGATAATGAAAATTCGAGTAGCCAACCGGAGTAAATTGGAAGGGTACAATCAATCGCGCATCCAAGAATTGACCAGCGAGGAAATCGCCTTCGCTAAAGGGACCAACGATTTCTTCGCGGCTAATACCTACACCACGTCGATGGTGAAACGTATTCCAGAAGCACCGATTGGCACGCCTAGTCATAATAAGGATTTGGGGGTTGAGAGTTACCAGCCGTCGAATTGGCAGAGCACCGGGTTGGATTGGTTGAAGGTAAGGAAATTCCTCGTGTACTATTTGATTCATAAGAGTTATGTTGTGTAGGTGGTCCCTTGGGGGATGAGAAAATTGCTCAAATGGATCAAAAACGAATATTCGAATCCGCCGATTTTGATAACGGAAAATGGTTATGCCGATTCTACAGGAGAACTTGAAGATACAAGTCGAATGAATTATATTCGAGTAAGTACTAGCGTATCAAAGTTATTTAAAAAATCTCTCCAAGTCTAAATAATCATCTAACTTTAGGATTACTTAAGTTACATTAGAGATGCGATGGAATATGATGGAGTAAATGTTATTGGCTACAGTTACTGGTCCCTAATGGATAATTTTGAATGGGTTTCTGGATATACGTAAGTCAGACAAATTTTAAAACTTTAAACGAAGTTTTAAATGTTACTTTTGAAACATCCAGTATACTATACAATATGGTAGTTTCAGAAGTATGTTTTTTGGAAGGCGTTACATATAAAATTACAATTGCAGGGCAAAGTTTGGGGTTATTAATGTTAATTTTACTGATCCTGAGAGAACCAGAACCAGAAAATTGTCTTCATACTATTATGAAAAAGTGATACGTAACAGATGTTTGGTAGACGATTGCCAGGATTAGTTTTATATTATTAATTGAAAATAAACTGTATACTTACAACTTAAAATGTATTTTTTATTTCCGATTGAAGAAATAATTTACCGGCACCACACATTTGAAATTTAAACTCGAAGAAATACCAACTGTTATATTTCTTTTATATGTCAACTGTCAACCTTTTACATATTAACATATTCAGATAACTACAAAATTCTTCTGTTAAGTTAGACAATTGTCATTTTTCCGTCATCTGTCATTATTGTCAAACAAATTTTAAGCGCTGCTCGCTTTGCTTTTTGTTTTGCTTATTACAAAAACAAAAACAAATACAAATACAACATATGTGTTTTAGTCGAATGTTAAATATTTATATCAAATTGTTATGGCATCTTCTCAAGATGCCTGGTATCTGTCGCTTTTAGGTTTAGCCGAGCATTTCAGAACGTCTAGTCCTCCTATGATAAAACCCTGCATACAATGTCTACAAGCCGTCTTTAATTTCAAGCCCCCCCAAAGGGTCGAAGCGCGAACCCACCTGCAACTCGGAAACATTCTATTAACCCACACGAAAAATATAGATTTGGCTAAAAACCATTTAGAACAAGCCGTAAGTTATCCAGCATTGTATCGTACTTGTTATCGAATATAATTTCATTGCAGTGGCTGCTGTCTCAAGTAATTAATTCATTTGATGATGTTAAATTCGAAGCTGCCAGTGTTTTAGCGGAATTGTACGAGCAACAAGAACAAATATCCCTGTCGAAACCTATTTTAAGGAAGGCCATCGAGCTATCCCAGCACAACGTCTACTGGCATTGCCGGTTAATTTTTCAACTAGCTGTAAGTGACCTAAAAAAGTTTTTAAAACGTTTAAGAATTGTGTTTTTTAACAGCAAATCCACGCTACTGAAAAAGACTACACATTAGCGAGCAGTTTACTAGGAGTAGGAGTAGATTACGCTCATATCTCGAATGCCTCGTACACCAGGGTTCTATTCTTATTGAGCAAAGGAATGGTACGTAATTACAATTTACAACCGTCTAAAGCGTTCTAAATCGGTTCATTTCAGCTGCTGTTAATCGACAAGAAATTACAAGAAGTACAACCAGTGTTGAACCAAGCCGGGCATTTGATAGACACTTGGACCGGAGCGGTGTACCAAAAAGAATACCTCAAAGTGTACCTTTTGGTGTTGCAGGTGTGCCATTACTTGATGGCCGGGCAGGTTAAGAGCGTGAAACCGTGTCTGAAACAGTTACAACAAAGTATTCAAACTATAATGGCTTCGGATGATGGTTAGTCGAGATCTATCGTAGATACTTGTACATCGAGCTCGGGGTTAATGTTGATATTTTCTAGTTTTCATGGGACCAAGTGCTGGTGATATGTTTCTGTGGATGCCCAAAGAACATCTGTACGTACTCGTGTATTTAGTGACTGTAATGCATAGCATGCAAGCGGGATATATGGAGAAAGCCCAAAAGTACACGGACAAAGCCCTAATGCAAATTGAAAAATTAAAAAGTACGTTACTTCTAACGTTCTTTTCGTATTTAAAATTTAATATCGTCCCGTTTAAGTCGTAGAAAACAAGCCTATACTATCGGTCTTCCAATTGATGCTGCTCGAGCACATCATCATGTGCAGGTTAGTAATGGGCAACAAAACTCAAGCCTTGCAGGAAATATCGTCCGCGGCTGCGCTGTGCAAGCAGAATCCCCGGTTGTTGGAAACGCACGGGCCCCAATTGCATGTACTCCTCGGGCTGTATTCCATGAGCGTGAATTGCATGGAAGCCGCCGAGGCGCAATTCATTGCAGCTTTAAACGTAAGTATTATTGTTTAATAGAAGTAAATCATGTTTATTAATCCCAAACCAAATATTCCCTAAGAATCATTACGTCCTGATCTCCCCTATTCCTGCTTCTACCTGAATGGTAATTATTAAATACGCGCTGTAGTACTCTCCGATTAATGGCTGTTGAACTTGTAGACATCTCGAGAAAGAGAATTGTGGACGTTCGCGAATCTAAATTTAGCAATTGTGTTTTTGAGAGGTAAAAGGGAAGCGGATTTCCTCGCGTTACACGATAGAATCAATCCAGAGAGCCTGCCATCGCATTCGCATAGTCTAAGGGCTGCCGCCTACTACGTACAAGGCCTCCAGGCTTTCTTCCAAGGAAGGTACAACGAAGCCAAGTGAGTATTAATACTGCTAATGTGATAATGTGAGCGTGGAATTTTCATTGGATTCGTTTTAGGAGATATTTAAGGGAGACGTTGAAAATGGCGAACGCGGAAGACTTGAATAGACTCACGTCGTGTTCTCTCGTACTTTTAGGCCACATATTCCTGTCGCTCGGTAATAGCAGGGAAAGTATGAATATGGTGACGCCTGCGATGCAACTCGCCAGTAAAATTCCGGATGTGCACGTTCAACTATGGGCTTCGGCGATTCTTAAAGGTACAAGTTTTAGAGTTTGTAGTACTTTGTTACGTTACGTTCGTTTGTAGATTTGCATCGAATATGTGGGGACAGTCAACGAGAAAATGAGGCATATCAACGACACGTAAATTTCTCGCAAATGTTGTTGAGTGACCATTTCCACGCGTCGCAGATGCCCGAGCATAATCTGATATGGTGGACGCAGGGTAACTTTCCTACAAACGCAATAAACGCTCCCGGTACTTCTAGTACGCTGATTTAATTGAATTAATAGCAATTGGATATTTTATTCGACGTTTGTGATACTATTTATCGATGAATTCGTAAATAAATCGCCCGTATTTTTTATTAAATATCGCGTTTATTTGGGGTCTACGTGGTAGTTTAAATTTAAAAAGGGTAATTTACAAAACTATAGAAAATTGTTTTTATTTGGAAAGAAAACATCGAACTTCAATTCAAACGCAGCAAGTAATACAAAATCGAAAATTAGTTATAACGACTTTCTCATAGAGCTTAAAAAAATATTTTTATAACGTAACAACAACTACTCGTTAGAAGGTACTTTTCTTCGATAACATTTCTAATTAACGTAGTTATTTTAAAAAAGCACAATATGTATCACAGATACATGGTCTTAATAACTAAAAAACATATTCAAAAAATAAAAGAAACAAAAAAACTTGGTGATAACTCGGTAAATAACGTCGAACACTACCATTCCTCCTCCGGCTCTTCAGCTGGTGTAGTTGAGAAATTCTGGGCCCTTCCAAAGTCGCCCTATTTAAACATAAAATCTCATATAAAAACCAAACTAAACCAATTATTTTGGATCATATAAATTGCCTTTTCCATTACCAGTTTTCAGCTAGTAATTTGTGTGCATCCTTTATTCAGAAAAGTGAATATTAAAATTAAGACAATCGAATTGAACTTACCCCTCTGATATCTCGCCCTCCGAAGTTATCCGAAGCGCCAGAGTTAAATCCGGCGCTTCCCAGCCAGTCTGGTACTTCTTGTCCCGCCTGTTTCAGGATTACAGCCAGTTGACTGGCCAATCCCGTATCGTGTGATGAATCGAAGAAACTCGTGGCTTTTCCTCGATTACCTACAAGATTCGTTTTTAGTTACCCACAAATTAGTAATTTAACAGTGTATATGCTTACCCACACGACCCGTTCGACCTATTCGATGAACGTATTCGTCAATGCTCTTGGGCAAATCGTAATTTATAACGTGTTGGACACCTTCAATGTCCAATCCTCTGGCCGCTACGCCGGTAGCCACGAGTATTTTGCAAATACCCTTTTTGAAATCCCACAGGGCATCTTCCCTTTCGCGCTGAAGACGGTCCCCGTGGATACTTGTAGCTTTAATATCATTTTCAGAGAGTACGGTCGCCAAAAAATCTGCAATTTTCTTCGTTTCCACAAACACCACGGTCTTTTCGTCGTCTGCAATTTTACACAAATTACCAAAGATTCGATTAAAACAAACCATTCGAAACTTACTCTTTTGAAGCATGGCTATTAACTTCTCTCGTTTATCAAATTTAGTAACTTGATGGATATTCTGTTCCACGTCCGTGGACGCACTACCCACTATACCGACTGCTACGAAGATGTAATTGAATAGGAACTTGCCGGCCAAATGCTGGATGTCTTCGGGGAACGTAGCGGAAAACATCAAAGTCTGCCTCTCGCCCTTAATACAACAGCGCGTAATTAATGTTCATTCGATCAACAGATTATCCTGTATATTCATATAATATCCTCGAATGAGCCTCGATATTAGATAACTAGTCTTGACAAAAGGATTGGCAAATCTAACACTCATTTGCAGTGGATGTAATCAAGCTCAGTCGAAGGCTATTTATTACTTACAGTACTGGGCATCGTGGCGTGTCCCAACATTTCCTCTACGGTGGGCAGGAAACCCATGTCCAACATCCTATCGGCTTCATCTAGTACGAAATAACCGCAAGAGGCGAAATTTACATGGCCCCTTTTCACGAAATCGTTCAATCTACCCGGCGTGGCGACTAAGATATGGCAACCGTTCTAAAACAAACAGAAATCGTAAAAAAAAACACGCAACATAATACCCCGATAAAGATGCTTACCGATAGAACGGTTCGCTGATGGTTCACCGAAGTACCACCGTACGCCACAACCGTTTTTATAATGGAATTGTGAGCGAATTTCTTCGACTGCTCAAAGATTTGTATGGCCAATTCCCTCGTAGGAGAAACTATTATGCAACGCGGTTGACACGTGGATTCTTCCATTACGGGCGGTTCTTGGCTGGCTAGCAGACTGTTTATAATGGGTAGTAAAAACGCGGCCTGAAATTTACAAACACACGTAGAATTCGTTCAAATTTGATAAGAATCAAACTTACAGTTTTACCGGATCCGGTTTGCGCGCAACCCATCAAATCCCGCCCTTTCATGACGATGGGTAAAGCGTACTTTTGGATAGGCGTGGGTTTTGTGTAGCCCGATTTCAAAACGTTGCCTAAAATGTGTGGCCTAAGGCCGGAACTTTCGAACGAAGTAATAGGAGTCGGTATGTCCTCCCCGCTCACCTGTAATAAAAATAAAATACAGGGTGGTAATTAATTCAGTGCCGATACTTCAGGATGTGAAACGGTCGAAGGGTGGTTGGTGCTAGATGTGTTGTAATTTCAATTTGCGGTACATTTGTTAAGGTTTTATTTATTTTTTATTAGAGATTTTCATTGCTGTGTCTTGAAGATTTTTTTATTATAGTTTTCAATTGATTTTTGAGAATTTTTAAAAGTGTAATCTTTTGGAACGATTTTTGGTCATTTTTACGACTTTTATTTTTTTTATTTTTTGAATGCCGATACTTCAGGATGTGAATTTTTGGGTGATTTTAAGAAGATTTTATCAATAATAAACCTCTTAGTTTAAAAAATAAAAACCAACACAACTTTTTCCCAAATTCATTGAGACTGCTTTTGATACTTTTTTGAAATTTGTCCACCAAGTACAGAAACACTTTTTTTGGGGACAAAAATTAATTTTCTATTACTAAAAAATTTCTGTTTAGATTAAAAAAAATATGGAATTTCAAAAAAAGTATCTGGAGTAATAAGAAAATTATGATAGAAAAGTTATTTTTTTTCCTAAAATTGTAACACTATGTAGCTCGAAAACAAAGATATTTAGGACATATATTGATATAAACTTTTCTTCTTAAAATCATCCAAATATTCACATCCTCAAGTTTCGGCACTCAATTAATTAACACCCTGTATAATAAAAACCAGCAAACAGTCGACTAACAAATACTTACATTGACTTCAATTTCGTCCAATTTAATGAAATTGACCCCCGATGTAATCGTTGTGGCAAAAATATTGTCATCGGTAGTCCTCTCTGGAGGAACGTAGATTTCTTTGGGCCTTTGAGGCTCCTCTTTATCGTCCCCCCTGTCGCGGTCTCTATTGCCAAAGTCCCCGTCACCGTTGCGGCCCCCTTCTCCGTTTCTACCGCCACCTCTACCCCTGCCTCCGCCTCCGCCTCTTCCACCTCTTCCGCGACCTGTAAAATTCCAAACAAGTCAACAAAATTTCTTCAACTCCACAAAAACAATAAAATGTATTTACCTCTGCCCTCAAAGTGCCCCCCGTCGTACGAATCAGATCCTTTGGATGCTCCCCATTCGTCGTCGTTGTGATTATTACTCCAACCGTTACTGTTTCCATTATTTTCGCGGTAGTTGTTACCTACAATCGAAAAATTACCCATCATTTTGCGTTAAATGCAAACACAAATTAAACATTCCCTTCACTAAGATCGCTGAAACTGCAATTCTAAGAATACCTCAATAAATATTCCTCGAGTGTTAAACAGATGGTATTTACTGTTTAAGCCTTAAGGGTCCATTAAGATAACACTTTCAAGTGGTGACAATAATTCACGAAAAAATCTATACCTGCCTCAACAATAAATATATTTTTAGGATGCTTCTTTACAAACCAGATTTTAAAAACGACAAAAAAAATAACGTGATTCTAGAGGATTGTAATCTATAGCTCGAATTCTTATCAAGGTTACCAAATGGTTAAATTGATGGAACATTTTTAAAATGCCGAAAAAATAACCTTGATAATGCATAAAAAAAACACAAAAATTTTTCCTTATTCTACAAACATTCATTTCAAAACCATTTCGTCAGCTTTTACAAAAAATGCAGAATAAGCAAAAAAATAAATATCCCCATTAGAAAAAGGGAAATGACCTTTTTACAATGAATCTATTGTTAAATTCTCTTCCAAACATTTCTATTACCTCCTCCTCCACCTCCACCTCTTCTATCACCAAAATCAGATCCTCCTCTTCCTCCTCTTCGGTTTCCCCTATCGCTCCTGCCTCCTCTCGGTCTGTTCGATTCGTAATCTCCTCCACCGCCAGAGCCCCATTCGTCATCGTTCGATTCCACGGGCTTGTAGCCCCTGCCCTTCGAGAACTGTCTACCTCCGGTCGAGGCTACTCCTACGTTCTGGAATTTCACCCGTATACGATTAATATTATTTACATTACGAGGTTATGAAGGTTTTACCGATACAACAGGTGTAGATTCGGTTCCGTCATCCCAATCGTCATCCATCTTTTTTTGATTCCTTTTGAAATTCACAGAGAAGGTTTGGTGGTGGTGAAGGTTCGTTACTAAGGGAAATATAAGGGTTTTTTTTAGTGTAATTGATGTGATTGTATGAAATACAAAATTACATAGGTATTAATAGTAGATTATGTGATAAATATAAAGACAGTTGTGTAATTAAATCATGATAATCAAAATGCTAAATTATCTGTCAAGTGTAGACATTAACAATTTTGTGTATTTAATTACAAGGTACTCCAATTTTACAGTTTCAATAAAACAAGTTTTTAATGATCAGATGTCCCATCATTCTCTTCCTATGATAACCCCAGGAGTATAATTACAATGGTAAATTCCGGAATTTATTTTTTAATCAACAATTATAAAATCATTATTACATACAAAATAAGTTCGTTTAAGAGGCTGGATTCTCTGAACACGCGAACATGATAATGCGAATGATGCTTGAAAGACCATTGTTAATTCGGAAAGACAATGCGAAAAAAGCCGCCAAATGAGGCACACGTGTTGTGGAAATTACTGGGCCCCGTAGGATTTTTAAGAGATTCTAAGTGGCGCAATCGAACAAAGGCGGCTTCTGGGACGTACCGGTAGAGAAATTTTATAAATCATGGAGTTTTTATAACAAATTATCGAAAAATACATACCGTTAAATACGAATGTCAAACGTTCAATTCTAACATGAAACTGAAAGAGGGAGAACAAAAAAACTTGACAAGATAAACTGCGAAAATGACAGTTGACGTAATTAATTTTTCTTCTTAATGGTCTTTTGTTATACAGTCATTAGTATAAAGAAACATTTTTTAGTAATTACAAGATTTCTTCAACCAAAAAGAAGAAGAAACTAACCGCAAAATTATTTAATCATGAAATTGTTAAATATTTATCTAAAATCTCGGAATTACACAAACAAACGGCTGTTTTCAAAGTTAAACTTAAAAACCAGCGACATCGAAATACTTAATAAAGCTTACCCGAGAGATGAATTTTCCAACGTAACTACCAAAGTGGTCGGCTTTTTAGGAAGAAACATTTACCTGCAGCCCCATCACCCTCTAAATCTAGTGAAACAACGCGTTGTCAATCATTTCTACAAATCGTTCGTTAACAGAAGAGGCAACCCTTTGTTTTCCGTACATGAACAACTGCAGCCTATCGTAAGCGTATCGCAGAATTTCGATAGTCTACTAATACCCGAAGGGCACCCTTCGAGGAACAAAAGCGACTGTTACTACATTAATAAACACCATCTATTTCGGGCTCACATGACTGCTCACCAAAACGAGCTGATCAAATCAGGCCTTAATGAATTCCTAATGATCGGAGACGTGTATAGAAGAGACGAGATAGATCGGACGCATTATCCAGTTTTCCACCAAATCGACGCCGTAAGATTAATATCGAATGCACAGTTGTTTTCTGAAAATAACAGCTTAAATATGTTCGAAGAAGGAAATAACACAGCCTTTACTGGTATGTAATAACTCGTATACGTTTCGATTTGTTGTTAATAGCTAATTGTTGTAGGTAATCAAGAAAAACAAGCTTGTCATTCCCTAGAAGCGGTGAAGTTATTGGAGTACGAGCTTAAAGAGACATTGTTCCAGCTGGCCAAAGAATTGTTCGGAAAAGACGTTAAATATAGATGGGTAGATACAGTTTTTCCGTTCACTCAACCGTCTTGGGAACTGGAGATATTCCACAATGACGAATGGATCGAAGTGCTTGGTTGTGGCATAATGCAGCAGGCCATATTGAACAACGCCGGTGTAAAAGATAAGATCGGTTGGGCTTTCGGTTTGGGATTGGAACGTTTAGCGATGTGCTTGTACAAAATACCCGATATAAGGTTGTTCTGGTCGAACGACACCGGTTTCCTTAATCAGTTCAAAGACAAGGAATGTACGGATGAAATTACATACGTTCCTATTAGTCAGTTTCCTCAATGTAAACACGACATTAGTTTCTGGTTGCCGGATACTGGGGAATACTCCAGTAATGATTTTTACGATTTGGCAAGGAATATCGGTGGAGATCTCATCGAACAAATCGAATTGATCGATAATTTTACTAATCCGAAGAATGGTAAAACTAGTCATTGCTACAGAATTACCTACAGGCATATGGAGAAAACTTTAACGCATAAAGAAGTAAACAAAATTCACAAAAAAATAGAGAGTGTTGTTAACGAAATGGGCTGTACTGTTAGATAAATAAGTAAATAAAATTTTTATAAGAGAAATAACAGTTAAATTGTAACATGTCTATGTTCGATAATTCGTTTCCCACCTCTAGACAAAACGTCAGAAATGACATTTTTGACAGTATATTTGGATATGTCTAGTCAACCAAGAAAAAGAAAAACAAATTCAATTCTAAAACCTGCTATGAGATTTTATTTGTTTCCGAATTTACTTACACATAACTAATCACATATTTACAAATATTCACATTCAGATGTCCTAATTGAGAAAACCCAGAACATTTATAGACCCGTAATATAGAAATTGGTTTATAAAATTAAATACCACGTTCTAAATGGAGCAGTCCGCAATCGCTTATTCGCAAAACGCAATTCAGGACCATCTGCAGTAAAAGTCACTTAAAAATATCAAATAAGTTAGGATTACGGACAGCTAAGCATTTTTTTACCATTAAAATACGAAATTTTACGTTGAAAATTTTATCAACTACACCGCGACATGTACAGGTATATCAAGAGTGTGAAGAAAATCGTTTACACGAGATGTGCACGAAAAATATGATTTATGAGAAGTATACAGGATGTCCCTTAGTGAACATAAACTACTCGAATATGGATAACTAATTGTAAGTACGTTATTAATATGAAAATTTAGAATTCAACAATAAATCATAAAAAGTAAACATAGTATAGGATATTCCTTTGAAAATAAAAGCTTGTATGTCTTTATAAGATTTTTTTCCATACACATTTAGTTTGAATTCGTCAAGAGACGATGAGCCTGTATAATAAAAAATATTGCCTACTGCCCATTGGGACAATTTCAATCGATAAAATAATACAAAATCAATTTTCAATCATCTGGTATAAACACTTAATGATACAACAGGTAACGGCATAGACCTATTAAGTATGGACGCGGCACAATCGTTATTTTGAGGTTATTCAGCGTTCCCAATGATAGAGAGAGAGGTCCGTGAGAGATGGAGCTAGTTTGGGCTAAAAGTAGGCGGGACCAAAAAATATATAAAATATATACAGGGTGTGTGGAAAAAGGCAATTAATTTGTAAAATTATTTATACGCTTAATATTTAAATATTGTTTTTATCTTGGTATTCACTTGGACAGAAGAATGACCTGGAAGAAACATATTTTTTACAAGAGAAAACAGCTAGGTCTTAAATTGCGAAATCTGTACAGGCTAATAGGTAGGAGGTTCCAAATAACAATACAAAATAAGAACTGTATTTGCAAATGTGTGGGAATTTAGGCTCAGCTGAAAAATGCATTTTGCTCGGTAAAAAAATTATAAATCCTCAACCCTATTCTACCATAATCTACCCTCCTCTACCCCAACTACCTTGCATTTCTGAAAACGTAACTCACGTGGTCTTTTTCTTTCTTACTATGGGCTAATGCATTGTCCAATCTCTCATTACCATATGTCCAAACTAGCTGCATCTCTCTCATTCATCGACAACACTACCTCTTTGTCTAAACCGCGTCCATAGTTAATAGGTCTATGGGTAACGGTTAGAAAATTCCAATGAATCGTGTATTTCTTAATTTATGAAGCGCGGAATCGAGGAATGTTTTGTGGGGCTAATTATTCCGATTAAAAAAGCATCACAACGTCGAAGATTAGATCATCATTTGGGAAAAAAATATTACAATCGTATCGCCAAGCCGATTTATGCACAGTACTAGTCGGTAAAATATCGATTTCAAAAAACATGTAAAATTTGCCTCGTTATAAAAAATTACTAGCGATTCTCGAAAACTAAACTGTGCAAAAATGCGGCGAGCTTAAGCTCCAAATGTTTCGTTCTGGTGTGCCCCGAATAATTTCCTTATTTTCTATTTTGCACCATCGATTCTATTTAGTTTTTTTTATTTTTAAATAACGCCTTTCACCACAAAATGAAAACTCTAAGTTTTAAAAAAACGAAATATAATTTGTACAAAAAAATACTGCTATTATATTTACAAAGGAGAGAAACAGGTATTTACAAATTTTCGAGGATGCGACAAAGGCCTTATTTAAAAACCAATCCAATGAAACAAAATCAATAACGCATTTTCCATTTTTACACGTCAGTCGACCAGCGATGGAATTTTCATAGAAAACGGATATAATGCATTTAAACAATAATCGATCGAAAATCGTTTGTAAATATTATTGTTCAAGCGCCAGTCACATGATGTTTACGTTTTGCTTAAATTTATTATTATTTCAAAATCAATAGATCGTTAAAAATTAATTTCTTTCCAAAAAAACATCATCATCAAGACCGAGCGTACAAATAAAAAATGCGTTTAATTCTTATTAACAAAATATACAAGATATACAAAAATGATTTACTGTAGTAAGTACATTCAACAAATTCATTTACAAAAAAAAGGTAATAAGTTACTAATAATATATCAACAGCCTCATACAGATATAACTAGTTTTACTTATAGTTTACAATAACTACAAAATCAAAAGTTGTTAAAAACTCATAGCTTTTTAAACAGTTTTTTTGTGATTTTTTTTTGTAATTAAGTCCACACACAATAATCACATTTTGTTTAGACTAAATATCGTGATAAAAAGTACAGTTGACAAAAACTTCAAAAAGTAAAAAAATCACTTACATAGGCGTTAATTCGTTATTACGATGATGAATTAAACATAAAATATCCAAAAACAACTGACCTTTGAACTATGCAAAATAATCGCATATTGTAATAGTTTAAATTTAACTCATCGTGCGCACGGTAAGCAACAATATTTTAAACTATTAGTTAAAGCTAAAAATAAAAAATATTACAAGATATAAAACATTTTTAAAACTGTGTAAACGCTTTGTACGATAAGATAAAAAAACTGACTAATAGTTTTTGTCTGCACAAAATATGTTTTTCGTGTTGGAACGTTTTTCCTTTTCTGTTTTTTTTTGTTGTTAACATGTCAAATGGATTGATGCAAATATAATAAATATGAAACTAGGTATAGAAATAAAGCCGATAATGAGTAATTTTTTTTAATAATGATCACTTTTTTTATGAACACATCAAGATTAGAAGAGAAAATGCCATATTCATTCTGCTTTCGAAACAATCACAAAGGTAATTATACTGCTATTAGATTCCTGCGGAATTTAAAATTCAATATATCGTTTTCGCTCGGTCTCAAAGCAGAAAAAATACAATTATTGTTCTATTAAAACTCTCATTTTTTTAGCAAGTGATACACAAGTTCTAGTTTCTATATCATATAAATCATAACTTAACACCGATATCATACAGGCATATACGTTGAGTTTTTTTTTATACTTTGTGTAATACAACACCCTGTACTCGATTTATTCCTCATCCTGCAATCCTCGAGGAAGGCAGGTTCAAAATCGATCATCACGTTACCTCCATAATGATGTTATTCTTTCGTACTATATTCTTTGATTTATTATTTGCTGACACAGGCCCACCTGTCGCTTCTGCTTCTATTTTGTTGGTTTCCGTATCGTTAGTCATTGGTATATCCAATATATTGGCACTAAAAATAATATTATACTTTTAATCCAACGCAATATTCAATTCGACATCCAAAAATAAGGATTATTTTCAAACATTTTAACGCCGCATATTTATTTTACCGGGGAAGAGTTGTAGATTGTAATTTAGATAAATTTTTAAGTACAGTAAGTAAGCCACACGCATTCTTACGAGAAAATTTTTAATAGACTCATCATACCTATGACTATTAAGCATTAGAGCATGCGCAGAAGTGGTGAGACTTAACGTATCAGTAGAAGCATTCGGGTAACCCACTGCTCCGGAATAAGCGTATTTGTTGTATTTTGTTCTTGTTGAAGGTACTAAAAAAATGAAAAACGCTCGTAAAAAATCCAGCTATTCGATATGATATAAATAACAAACTCACATTTCGTTCCATCAAAACAAAGTTGTGTCAGCAACCCGTTCGTATTACCATGCTGTACCGTATCATTAGCCCTCGACGACTTGACATTATCATCCCCAGTCGCCGAAGACGTCGTCGTATTCACACTGTTCACCTTCGGACTAGCAGAGCTGCTGCAATTTTGAACTTTGTTTTGTTGAAATTTCATGGGCGCGCACAAACCGTCTCCGACACTGCCTAGATCGTTGACTGAAAAGTTCGAACAACCAATAGTTCTGAAATCGCTATCACTACTAGAATCACTTAACACATTGTCAATGTCGTTAATTTTATCACTACTAACACTAGGTATAAGCGTATTGAGAGCGGACGATGCAGACAAGGACTGCCTGCTGTCCAAGTCCAGCTGATCGAGAGAAAACGGATCAGAGATAAACGTAGAGGTGTCCAATAGCGTGGAACTCGGCGCATCCAACGTTTGTATCTCCATGGAGAATGTGTTGGCACTGGGACTGAAGAACGTTTCTTCCGACAGAAGCATATCACATGGGACTTCGTAATCCGGCGGGGGAGTTTTCGGTCGAAAGTGCAACCTACAAAAATAACGCCTATTAGTACAAATTACAGTAATTGTTTTTTTATAAATAATCTTACCAATCCCTCCTAAGCGATCGAAGAAAATCAACCATATCGTCTTTTTCCTCTTTCGAATAAACGGGATCCAACGACGTGACGCCCTCCTCTTGCACCTCCTCGGGTTCCTGCTTAATCTCCACTTTAATACTATCACTAATCGCGCAATCACTTATCCGTGCACTGTCGCTAACACTAATTTCACTTTTAATATCAGTTTGTTGAACTGTTGTGTGCTCCTGAGACGTACTAGCCGCGTGTTCGCCGACCGGTTCCGTGATAGAGTAATCCAATGTCCTCCAAAAGTCGTCGTAATTCGTTGAAATTCGATCTAAGATGATGCGCCCGCCTCTGCCTACCCTCCTTCGGGCGAATCCGATGCACCTTCGGGGGTTCGAGAGCGACGTCAGATTGAACCGGTAACGCTTGTCCGCCAAACCGTTTTCTTCTTTCGAACACCAAGGCCAATTGCCTTCGTTAGGTAACGGCTACAAAACGAAAATAATTATAATAGTGCTAGATGGCTTATGAGAAAGAGACCATGGACTAAAAATGGTTAATGCCTACCATATGATAAGAACATAATTTGTTCCGTCTAAAAGCGAATTGGCTCTCGTCCTCGGCGACTTCGGGCTCCGGAGACAATTGCGCCCCCGTCACTTCTTCGTCCGATGAAATACTGCCTAATGGATCGACGCTAAAACTACCAGACCTACTGCCCCCTAATGATTTGTGTTTTCGCTTTTTGTACTGTCTCTTCTCACGTCTCGGTATCACCTGCAAGAAACAATAAACAATTTAATTCAATCACAATATTCTCCCATAAATAGCTCGATAACAGAAACGTAAGAGGCAAGGGACGTTTCTGTTTAGAACTGTCATAGAGCTCCGAGATCGCAGTAGGGTATGAATGACATATCTGTCAAATACTTTAGCCTACTGTGATCGATGAGAGCAAAGTAAGTATACAAGTTTTTTACCTCTTCTTTAAGAATGGACTTGCCAGCCCAACTCTGATTGGGATAATGGTTCTGGAAGATAGGAGTAAACGCAGGTCTGGACGATTTGATGGCCGACGCCTCGGCCATAACGACGCCGCTAAAGTCCTTGGCCTGGAATCGCTTTTCGAACACCTCGACCGTCAGATGGACGTACTCCCGTTTGATTTTCTCCCGCCTCTTCACCAGCTCCAATAACGTCACAGCCCTGTACAAATCCCTGCGCAATTTCAGCATCTTCTCGTAGGACGCCTCGTCGTTTTTGCGTATCTTTCTCGTTTGCATCTTCTCCGTGCGTCGTCTAAACGCCAAATAGGGGTTGTTGGCCGCCGTGCCAGATCTGTGCTCCGTCTTGACAGTCAGAATCAAAGGATGTTGCTAAAAATAATAAGAAATTAATAAACATTCTTGGAACAAATGGTCTTGTACGTTCGTTGAATACAGCACACTTTGGAAAGAACCGTTATTAGGGGAAAATCATTACCGTTTTGAGACGTTTATTCAACCAATAATCGAATACTGCTATGATGAGATCGTCGTCTTCCTTCAGCAGCGCCTTAGCCTCGTTGAGTGTCACGACCGTTTGACCGCTGCTCTTCTCCAATCTGTCCATCATCTCTTCGAATTTGAGCGGGCTCAGGTCTAATTTCTGCGTCTGTGAATGCAGCCACCTTTCGTCTTCGGAGTCCATGTCGTAATCGGGTATATCCTGTTCCATGGTGAAGGCTACATCACAGAAAATACAATCGGTTTTATTTCAGTTAATCGACCGGCGAGGAATTATTTATACAAGGCGATTCAATTTAACTACAGATTGCAGAAGGAATTGATGATTATTATAAAATCTTACGTTGCATATGAATAAGCTGTCGTGGTTGCTTGTAGTTAGCAGGATAGGCCTTTTCGACGAACTCCTTTTCGGGTATTTCGGATACATCGGGAGTAGGAATAATGAGCCCGGCAACAATCGCTCTTTGAAGGTGATGCTCCTAGTAAATTAAACAATGTTTTAGTATCAAATTTGTATTATGCGAATCTGTCTAATGTTTTTTTTTCTGTATTCCTTATTCCAAATATTGTTAAACTAAATGCTAGTGAGTTAAGAAAGGTTCTGTATATTTTAGAATCATTAAAGGCCATATTACGAACTGACAGGTAAAAGAACGGAGAATGTAAACATTGGATTAAATTAAATGTATTTGACCAATTAATTGGAAACTTATCTCTCAATTTCGAATGAGGTACTGTTAAAAAGTATTTTGTTGTTTGTATTAACTTTTATTTAAAACCTATAGAAAAATATGAATTTTCAAAAACCATCAAAAGTAACCCTTTTGCTCTCTTTAAAAACATTAAAAATTTATCAAAAAATCCTGAAAATGACCCTCAAATTGTGCATATAAATAGTTTATCCATAAAACAAGCAAAAGAAGATTAAAATGAATCAATTCAATTGATCCTGTGGGATAATATACCCCATTGTTAATTGGCAACCCTGAAAACTCTGAGTAACCATAGGGATATTTCTACAAATTACAATATTACTAAAAAACCCCTAAATTTGCAAAGCCTACTTTCGTTTAAAAAGCTTTGGAATGGACAATATCAATCAGTAGATGTAGGTATGTGTAATAGGCAATGTCAGCTCCGGAACAAAGCGTAAATATTTATATCATCGCAAATCTCTCGTAAAATGCATATCCGTTTAGTGAAAAAACGCATATTAACCGGTTGTCAAACGAAAAGTAAAATAATATTTCGCCGGTTGCGCATGGGAGCGCGAATACCATCAACATGGCCGCCGACAACGTTAACAAACAAGCCCAACTTCAACCACAGATAACTTACACATTCCTCCTCCTTTTGCATGCCCGATGGCATCTGAGGAACCGCCCGGTTGATCGCCGAAAAATCCGGCAGATCCGGGAGCTCCTCTGCCATGTAGATGGGCATGGGCTTGCCAGCATCCAGGGCCCTCGCCCTAAACGAAAGCTTCGACATATCTGTTGACAGCACAAAACACTCGACAAGGCCAACATAAAAAACTCGTAAAAAACCGGCTCCCCGTCCCTCGGGCCGTTCGAGGAGGGCACTAAACGATTCTTCCTATCCTTCAGTACGTTCCCATTGTTTTTATTTACACGCACTCAGTCACAAATACGATAAAACAACTTTGAAACTTTCCATGTTGAGCGTGTTGAGCATAAAGCCATCATGGCGGATGTGCCATGGAGCCATGAAACTACGAGGAACACGCAGTGCGCGGGAAACTTTTGCGCACGTTCACATGTAGGGAGAGAATTTCATTCATCTGCTGCACGTTTAACTGTCTCTTCTAACATTTTCTCCTAAAATTTTCCACTAATTGCGGCTGCAAAGGAAGAAAAACGTGCCTTTTATTCTACTTTTGACGTTTCTCGATAGTTTGTGACGTTTCGAATGTTGTACGTACGTGGGAAATTGGCCAATTAAACCAAAAAACTTTACGTGAGTATTTTTATTCAAATCTTACATTTATTACTATTTCAATATGTAAATAGTGGTAATTACGCTTATTTTTACATACTACAATCATTTTATTTCCATTATTTCAAAAAAATATCGTGAAAATCACAATTATCTTCGATTTAACCTTTTTCTCGACTTGTAAACATTAGCAGCGTTGCCACATGTTCATTCATAATATCCAAACCTATGTTTAATTTTCTAATGTTCTTCTATTTCAGGCATTTCAGCTAAATGAGGCTATAAGAATAACAATGCTCTAACCCACAAGCATATGTATTTTTTATTCGGTATTTTTTAGAAGTTATTTTTTACTTTAGGTTCGAAAATGAATATTTGCTCTTTTAAAATTTTTGTGGCCCAAATTATTTAATAATTATTTAATATTGTTTTTTCAATATATAAATCCTTTATCCTAGTTCTGAGCATCAAATTTTAAATACCATAAAGAAATACGCCAAGGAAGAGTTTCGACTGGATCATTCTTTACATGGAACATTGTAATTATTCGTTAAGCAACAGTGAAATATTTGAACTCCTTTTTTGAAACAAACATTATTGTTAGTTGTAGATTTATAATCTATTCCTAATTGTGTTTACATTTATTAATAAAAAGTAGTAAATCTACGATTTTTTTTCAAACCGGCAACAATGGTAGAAAAGCAACTTTTAGAAGGGATACACATTTTTGGTGGGGGAAACGGAAACGCACGATTATAGTAGATGACGTAATCGTGTAACATCTAAAGGTAAGTTTACATGGTAAAGAGACTATTTTATTTCGTGACATGATTGGTCCGATTGTAAAGGATTAAACGATTTCCAACCAATCACGTTTGATTTTTTGCATATTAAATAAACTGATAAGAATTTGAAGACTAGAGTAAATTTTAAGTTTTTTTGTATCGGTTATACAAAAAATTTGCCTACTTATTCTTATACAATGCAAAATTTTTAAAATAAAAGCCACGTGTCTCTTAAAAAATGTCGTATGCGAAAGTTGGCTACACTGCTCGAATTTAAAAATGACATATGACATTCAAATAAAAAATGTTACGCTAACCTTACTTTGCATTTAATTGTTTTAGGATTTATTTTTGAATTCACATACAAGTGTTCCAATTTTTTTAATAATATTAAGCACCAAAATGGATAAAAGTTTTCAAAGTCCTATCACCGTAAAGAGTCCGTTTTCCCCGAGGTCTCGTCAAAGTTACAGTGCGAAGAGAGTCTTGCCGGCCAGTTTTAGAAAGTCTTCGTAAGTTCTCTTATTAACTATATTTCCTATTATCTCCGACTACTAATTTTTTATTGTAGGCGACTAAGCGTTTCAGGAAAATCTACCCAATCTGTTCAAATTGTATTGAAATCCACCAACAATTATGTGGAAAGGTTTGGCCAATCCTTACCCGTTCTAATTACAGAAGCTTTAACATTTGCTGAGAGTAAGTTATCAAAAACTATTTGTAAAACAATAACGAAGTTATTTAATTTTTGTAGGAAATGTAGTAATCTCCGCTAGGATAGCAGATTGTGGTTACGCTTGGGTAGTGTGTGGACGAAGATTACTCATTTGGCAATACAAACAAATTTTAAACATACCCGGAACTCCTCAAAAAAAGCACGCCAACCTCAATCACTGTTTCGAATTGCAATTACCACAAAGCGATTTGGCCCACAGAGCTGAATTAGTGTCCGTTTTTATCGCCACCGGCTCCAACATTCCCTCGTGCATAGCAGTTTCACCCGAAGGTAACATTCAAATAAACACCTTTCGTACCCACATTTAAATCACATAAATTTTTAGGAGTGCTTAGATATTGGCCAGCGATAGTACACGAAGGAGTAACGGTGGAACAAAGCATCGATCTTCAAGGACAAGAATGCGATAGCTTAACAAACGTCGAAGGTTTAGGATGCGTTTTAGCCACCACTACTTGCACGATAGTTTTAGTACAGCCGCAATTAGTAAGCGGTAGGCACGGGTTGCAATGCAGGCCCCTCAAAACCCCCAGCGGTTGGTTCGGCGGGATCAGCAGGAGAATGTCATCGTTGATATTCGGCCCCATTTCCACAGAACAATCCAACGAAACGGTAAGGGATCATTGTGGATTTGCTAATTTTCGTCTAACGCTTGTTAATTTTTTTAGAGGCTCGTTAGAATTTTGAGTACGAAGGACGCGGATCAGAATTGGATTATTTACGTGCTGGCCGGTCATTCCCTTCAGAAATGGATGTTATCTAATTACGAAACGGACCAATTGATGTTTATGGTAGATTTAACTAGAATCGTGAAAGAGAAATTCCACAGTGTAGTATGGAGCGCCAGCAACACATCGGAAACTAACGCTTGGTTGTTTGATATCGAAAACATCGATACTTGGTTACTAGACATTCAATCCGATAAGGATAATGTAATAATCCTAGCCGCTGCTTTGAACAACCAAGTATCTCCTAAGGTTAACACCGGTTGATTTGTGTTGTACATTTCGTTCAAAATCGATCATTTGCAGGTTCATTACGCGATGATTTCCTTCACCACGCAAGGCCCAACGCCGTTGATTAAAGACTTTGTGCTGCTACTAATGTCGGGTTTCTATCGAGAAGACAATCACGAAGCGCTTTCGTACAGATTTTTAATATGTGGAACGAGCGCTTATCTCTACAACGCCAGATCGATCACGGTGGTCAAGCCGCAAGAAGAACCGGACGTGCTGGAGTTCACTTCTTCGCAAGACGTGCTACTAGGCGGATCGATATGCGTCAACACGCCGGTATTTTTTTCGAGAATCAACGGACTCATAGCCGTATGCAGCAACGATCAAATATCGGATATTCCAAATCAGAGTCTACCGGTCGAAGTGTCTTTCAATGAAACCCACGCGGCTAACAACCTCAGTATTTACACCATGGAACCCGAAGAGATCTACAACGCGTACAAAGACACCTTCAGTCAGTTGAAAGCCGCGTTTATTTTCCACGTTAAAAACGAAAGAGTAAGTATTTGCGTGTTCGATTGTACTTAATTACCAAATATTTACTGATTTCAGGCGGCTTCTCAGGAGATTTTGAACGAGTTGTTCCCGTCCGATAGCTACGCATCTCCTAGCATCAACAGCGTTCTGGACAAGGAAGCGTTGAAGATGTGCAAGACTCTGATCGATGACATACCGGCCGGCGATCCCCGTTGGGTTAAAGGCTCCATGCCCGGCATAGGGAGTTCGTCTTCGATGCAAGTCATCCATCAATTGGAGGACAAACAGCGGGCGATGTCGTTGCTGTTGAAGTTTCTGAAAGAGGCTGGTTTGTGGGGCAAGCTGTCCGGCTGCGTCGTCAGGAATACCACGATGGCGACTGTACAAGTAATAGGTAACTAATTTGAGGTATACCCGGACGAGTTGCGATTGAATTTGAATTTTCAGGGGAATTTATGGAGAAGATAATCGCTGCTATTGTATTGAAAAGTCTGCCGAGCAATGTTCTAATAGAAAATGCCATGGAGAAGATCGTTGCGAAAATGGACGACGATCACGGAGCCAGCCTGACGAATCAGGATATTTTCTATAGGAAAATTAGCAACGTACACGCCATTGTTCAAGAATTGGCCAATCGTTGCGAGGAAACTGTTCATTCGGACCAAAATCCTGTTCAAGTGGCCCAATGCGTGCATGACACCAACGACATTCTTTTAGTGAGTTTCAATGTTAAATTTTTAGCCATCTAAATCCAGTCTACCAGTGTACATTTCAATAGAACGTCGCGATAAATTCTAATAAATTTAATTGTTCCACTGGACCGCACGCCGCGCTTTGTAGATGTACAAAGTTATTTGTGTTAAGTATGAGGTACAAAATTATTTAGAAACTACATTTAATAGATCCATTTCTTCATTGTACAATCAAGAGACCTCGTAGATCACCAGATTTATCCCCAAATGACTTTTTTGTGAGTTATTTCAAAAAAATATGTATGTCGGTAGGTACAGTTTTGAAAGAGCAACAAACCTTGTTGAAATAAGGAAAAAATAATTCAACTTTCTGTTAGATTTATACCTGAACAGCTCAGTAATATGAGACCACATCTGTATGACAGGTTTAGCTATTGTTTAGCAGAAAGTGGTAGATTATTGGAACCCTTATTAAAATAGTTTTTAGTTGTTTACAGTTCTTTTATTACCAGTTATTAGTTAACAAATATCTTTTTTAGGCGGTACTGAATGAAGTGGTACAATATCGTAACCAAAATTGCAACAATTTTCAACCCAGCGAGGCTACAAAGTCCTTGGAATTGGAATATTTACCATGGACAATTGCCAGCGGTGAAGATGGTGTCTTAGATGCTCTATTGCAACAAGTTAGTATAATTATATTAAAGTAATTTCATTTATTTTTAATTTTAATTATTTTTAGCATATAATGACGTACAATTATGGATTAAAATTGGTGAATCTAGGCCAACTACGCAATTCGTTGTTAGATCAGTTCGTAGCCCTTACGGATCTTCTATTAGACGGAAGGAAAAGTCATATTGAGAGCGTTAAAAAGTCGACTAGAGAGAACATTTTATACCGGCAATATTGCACTGATAGGCACAAATTTATTCAACCTTTAGGTAAACTTGTAAACTACTCAATTTTATTTTCTGTGATTTTCTAATTACTCAATCTTATATTTTCTTATATTTATTTGTAGTGAACGAGAAGGAATACGAAAGAGCCATGCTATTAGCCGAGAAATACTTGGATTTCGAAACCTTGCTCATAATTTGCGAAGCGACCAACAATCAATCGCGCCTCGACGAATACATGGACCGATTCATCGACGAGGGATTCTCCGAATACGTTTACAATTGGTTCATCAAGGAAAACAAACAGGGGAAATTGATAGACATGTACAGAAAAACGAACAAAACTAAAAATTTGCAAAAGCTCTCCAACTTCCTCTCTGCCCGGCCTTCTATGTGTTGGATGCAGCAAGTGTTCGATCGGAAGTTTTCCCTAGCCGCGTTAACTTTGTGTAAGTACATCGAGTTAGTAGATACTGTACGTAATTGTATCGCTTATTTTCTTTTAGATAACTTTGCGCAAGTGGAAAAAGAGTCTCTCACGCGTCAAAAAACTGTACTGAGTCTCAGCAAGCTATCGAAACTGGCCGGAATAACGACCAGCGATACGGAAAACTTCGTAGAAAACGTCAATTCGCGTTTGGATCTCATCAATTACCAGGAGGAATTGCCCGACTACGTTTTGCAGCAGTTCGGTTACGAAACGGTGAGACCGAGAGTAATCGAACCGCACGATTTGATCAGCCTGCACGTTTGCGAGGAGTATTCGGACGCCACCGAGCTGGAGTTCAAGAAAGCCTTGGACATATTGAATTTCGTCGACGACGAGGATCTCAAGGAGAAGTTGCATTTGAAGATTTGGAGGAAGGCCATTCTGAGGGATTCGTGGAACTTCACAAACTTGGATTCGCCGTTGGAGGTTTTGAATATGACGCTGTTTTTTAAAATTGTCGATTTGCTTTTGGATATTGGTAAGTTATTCATCTATACTAGGCATGTTATAGCTTTATATTTACATACATAGTGTTAACTGAGTGCCGATCTTCCTGGATGTGAATATTTGAATGATTTTAAGACGAAAAGTTTAGATCAATATTTGTCCTAAACCTCTTAGTTTACGAGCTACATTGTGTTACATAAAAAAATTACTTTTTTATCCTAATTTTCTTATTTCTCCAGATATTTTTATGAAATTACGGACGTAGACGTCACTGGTAATAATAAGCAAAAAATAATTTTTTGTACCCAAAAAAGTGTTTCCATGCATGGTGGGCGCCTTCCAAATTTCAACAAAATATCAAACAAAAGCAGTTTCAATAATGAATTTGGGAAAAAATTTGTTTTGGTTTTTATATTTTTATGCGAAAATGGTTCGTCGTACAAAAGTAATTCTTCGGGTCGAATTTGTTCCGAAATAAATGAGGATTTTAAAAATAATTTTGGTTTTTAGAAAAAGCAGTGGCGTACCATTTTTTTCTTCAAACATATTCACTTCAACTCAACGGATGTCACCGGTAAAAATTTAAAAAAATCTTTTGCCTCAAAAAATGCTCCTTAATAATTAAAAAGTGTGTGCAAAATTGCATAAAAATATCTGAAGTAATAAGAAAATTTTGATAGAAGTTATTTATTTTTTAACACTGTAACACCCTGTAGCTCGAAAACTAAGAGGTTTAGGAAATATATTAATATAAACTTTTCTTCTTAAAATCATTCAAATATTCATATCCTAAAGTATCGGCACTCAATTAATTAACACCCTGTATGTTGTAGAAATCATGTAACAAAATTTAGTATATCCTACAAACGTTCATGTTAACACAAAAATTAATTTTTATTTAGGCGTTAGTCCGCAAATTCTTCTACCGCCGATGAACGTTTTATTGGAAGATCCGGAATTACAGGAATTGCAGGATAATCCAAATTTTTTGTTTTTAATTAAGACTGCCTACGAATACGTTAATCGAAGCCAATCGATGGATGAATAATACTTTTTTACTTATCTACTATTAATCTTTATAAATAAAATTTCTTTTTCGTTTTTTTGTAAGAATGGTCTTTATTTGAAACGAAATTGTCAGAGAACTATATGTAAATCGACACTGTAGAATAATTTAAGTTATACACCCCTCTGGAAACTTAAATGAAATTATCTTCTTAATTAATGTATCCTAGTTAAATCCTCTATCAACTTTACTAAATTCTCAACAGTTATCTGAAACGAAAAACAATTTGCATTTACAAAACTATTCACATATCGGCCTATTTTAATCTTCAAAGTTTTAAACACTACTTTTGGTATTGTAATATATTTTCAGTAGACTTTAAACTTTAATGGTGAGAAGTGCAAAGAGAGATTCTTGAACAAAAACGAAAAGAAATACTTACTCCTACGCCGTCAGCTACTTCTTTCATTTTATCCTGCGATAGATCCAAAAAACTTTCAATCAAATCACCGTCGATGAATCCTTCGCTGTTCTCCGTTTTGAACTCGGTGTGAAAGGCCCTCCAGAACGAGTGCTCGATTTTACCCACGGATTTGATCACCGACGACAATTTGTCCTGTAGTTCTCGCAAAAATTCGTAGAATTCCTGCGTTATCTGCGTTACTAATCCTGCGCGACGCAACAGCAAAAAGAAACAATAACAATAAAGTATAAAGAGTGTGTGTATACAGGGTGGAAACGTCAAATGGAATAAATTCATTATTTTTTTTTTAATACAACTGTACCTATGGCGCCTCCGACGGTGCCGAACAAGACGCATCCCCTCGTCGGCGTCGATGTCTCTCCGATATTCTGCATGACGAGCGACCCGTGTCGGAAGACGTTGATCATATCGCCGATGTGGAACTGGCCCACCTCGTGCATTTGCGATCGCTCCTCGTCGGTGGTGGCGGCGCTGTCCTTTTGGCACACAAACAAATTGTAGCTGTTCTCGGCGCCGAGGAACGTGTCGTCGTCCAATATCTCGATGGCCGTCATCCAATTCGGATTGTAATCGCGCGCTATCTCTTCGAAACTTCCTGCGAATCAATCATCTTATGCAAAGAGGTATTCGAGGTGTTCTTGGCCACCAGGTGGCGTCTTAATTTGACAACTGTCAAATCAAACTGGGGAAGACATTGGAAATCCCGTTTATTACTTGTGATTTGTCGTATTTTTTTAAATGCTTGTTGTAATAGTAGACCCATAGTGTAAGATAAAGCAGTTTTTCGAGCCGACCACAACACCTTGTGTCAGGTTAAAGATTTGAATATTAGAAAAATATTTGCACTTTGCCTGTAGATTTCGGCATTAAAATGATCTACTCTTAAGCTTAGGATATCCCGGAATATCTACAGATAAATAGATCTATGTTTGTAGTTGCAATGCTGGGCAATCTGGATATTGTAAACATGTTATTGCTGCTTTATTATATGTGAATCAGTGAGCTGGTTTATTTGAATATATTCTCTACGAATCTTCCATTTTAAAAATAAGGAACTGGATGCATTTGGAAGTTGCACAGAAGTTAAACAAATGTAGAAAAAAAAAAGAAAAGTTGATGAGGTTTATTCGGCAGAAAGAGCTGTGGACTACTGGCACTTAAAAAAAGGAGCATAGAGTTCATAACTAATGATGAAGTAGATAAAGCAAACTTACAGATGCTTATCAAGGGTAATAAATTTCATAATTTTCAAATAGTTTACACTACAATAATTGATATTTTGCATGACAATGTTTTGGAAATGAGTCATGCTGAAGAAATGATCTAGTATTTACTTGCAAAAAAATTCACTCAATCTCAATATCTCAAGGAATCAGAGACATTTGTATATTTCTAACCACTGAAATTCATTGTTTTCCCCAGTTTTAGGTTAAAACAATGACAGTTAGATGTCGCCCACTCCGTGGTTTCCTCGAATAGAATCTGTCCTTACCTTCCATCGTCTTGTATTGCAGCAACGTCATGCTCCTCATCAAATCGCCGACCAAAATGAAATCCCCTTTGGTCTTCAGGTAGAGCGAGATGATGTTGTTGAATTGCGAACATTCCAAACGCAATTCCTTTTCGGCCGTCCACTCGAAGAGTCGCACGGTACTGTTTATACTGGCCAGCAGTTTCCCGTTGAAATCGGCCAACGAGTAACAGGCCCCTTTGATTTCCTTTTCCGAAATTTGCGTTAGCTTATTGTCGTTCCAATAGAACACTAAAAGTCTGCCGGTTTTCGGTTCCGATTCCTCCGGATTGACATTCGCTGTACCTAAAAGATGACATAATATTAAATGGTAATCTTATACAATTAAATTAGTACGTACCGACAACAAAATAGGGATTCGGATCGTTTCCAAGAGTACAAGAAATCAACGACATGGCGTATTCCTGTTGCATGAGCTGGTGCGCGTGCAACACTTCGAACGTGTTCTGATCGATGATCAGCAAATTGTGGACTTCCACCTCTTGACCGTAGTCCGGTACTTGATTGGACAACAGACCGGTGTGACCGGACTTGCTCATTCCCAACGTACCCACGCTGCTCGATATCGTCACGGATTGCGCCATGGTCGAAGCGCTAGGCCTTGCGGGATTCAATCCCGTCGAGTCTTGTATGTCGATACGTGCAGTAGCCACACCGAAAGTCTACAAAGACAATGATTTACTTTACCGTGTATTAGTGGGGTGGCTTTGTTCATGTTGCGATGGCTGTTTTAAGGTAAAAATAGAGGCCATTTAGAAGGTAAACGGGTTCTTGCACCAATGGGATTTAAATGTAGTTTAATGCTAAACTCAAGTTATATTCAATTTTTATGTTGCACCACTTATATAAACTAAAGTTAACTTTTTAATCTTGATGGTTTATAAACAGTTTAAACGAAAATAGACTACTGTTATATGCAATCAGTTAATTAGACGGAAAATTAGCAATAAAATATCTTTTTGTAATATGGTCGGGGGTAGATTTTCTTATAAGTTTTCTTCTTTATGGAATTGGACCATCATAAAACTACTTTTGTGTCCTTATAGGGCTGTTTGAAATAATTTTCGAAATTTTAGCTTTTTTTTTGATAAATTTAAAAAATGTTTCAAACAAAACTTGTCAATTGTGATGCCAGGTTCCGAATTTTCAATAAAAAATAGGGGTTTCTATTTAAATTTTTAAAGTTACATTTTCAAATCATCATCAAAAATATCTTCATAATTTATGTTTATTTGTTCAATTCCCATCACAAGTAAATAATATCTGATGATTGATAATATACAATAAACACAAAATAAACCTGGATGACCTTAAAAATGTCTTTTTCGCAGAATACTGAGAATACAGAACTTAGATCTTAAATTCTGTGTTCTGTGGTGTTTTTTTCTAAAATGACAACTAAGCGTAACCAACATTAAATATTTCAAGCAAAAACGTTACAAATTAACTAAACTCTTCACTTTTATAAATGGTGCAACGTTAATGAACTTAAGCGAAGTTTAAAATTAAACGCTAGTTTAATTAACTTTCGTTTAATTCGAGGTTGGTGTAAGACCCCGAAAGTCCACTATAAGAAAGCGAATGATATACATTATTAATATCTGTACCTGTGTTTGTTCTTGATAAGCTATCCTTCTAGGAGATTCTTGAAGGGAAACAGTTCTTATGTGTAATTTTTGAATTTCGTCAATCGTTCCTATAGTAACTGAAGTGTCCGTTGCCAAAGCGAGACTAAAACACAAAATATACTTATTTAAATAGCGACTTATTCGAACCACTTACCTATCGGGATAAGCCTCGGCGTTCAACGAACACATGTGATTCACTTCCTTCATATTAACATTCGAAAACACGAGTTTGTGATTAGACGAGTATATGACGGTGGGTCGATCGGAACAAGCGAAAACGTTGGTGGTACTTTGAGATCTGAACGTCTTTAACACTGTCGGTTGCGTGCCCAATGTGACCTTCTTCTTCTCGCTCAGCAAACCCGTGTCTTTGTGCAGGGTGAAATAGAACATCGAACCGTCCCCCAGGGCGCACAGCAGGTAATTGTGCCCTTCGAAATTCGCCATCAACACCGATCGAGGGATAATTTCGCCGCCTAGCAGTTCCTTATCGGCTTCCGTTAAATCCGGCAATCGTAGAATTCGAGTCGAAATGTCCGTCCACAGCCCCACTGCTACCAAATCCGATGTGCATCCTTCGCCCAACACGCTTATATCCAAACAAGCCACTTCCACATCTAATGTAGTATTTCTAAAAAGTATCAAATATTCATTAAATTATACTCAACTACGATAGAAACAAATCAGGTGAAACCTCGATTATCTGGAGTTAAAATCGAAAACCAACCCTTTAAGTATGAGCTCTTTAGGATGGATTTCCAAATAATACAAAGCCGAACCGGTCGATAGGATAATTTGCCGGGTATTACAGGCCACGACGCTGATGTTCTTCTCGGTCGAAGGCTTCCATTCGGCCAGCAAAGTTTTGTTTTGAGCCGACACCAATCGCGCCGAGATCGGCGTCACTTGGATCAATTGATCGTGTACCACGTTGCCGCAATAGAACGTTTGCTGATCGGCCGCGAAGCCCACTATATCGGTCTCTTCCACCTCTTCGCCGTTGAGGCTCAACACGCGCGTTTGACCCACGAAGGACAAGACCAGCGTGTTGTCTTGAGTGCTACCTGTAAAGCAAAAACAACTAATGGAGAGGAGTACGACTTCTTTTATAAAACTACGCATTCTTATGAAGTCGTTGGTGAAATTTTTAATTTTCTCCATTTCCTGTTAAGGCCACAATTAATTTTTAAAGTTTGAAATACGTCGCAAGTCATTAACCAATCACATTAAGAATTGGTGGTAAAGATCGTTTTTAGCGACGTTGTCAACTATCTTCTTACTCTGAAAAAAGGCGTTTGTTTGTATGTCAATACTATAATTTATTTTTTATATTTCTTGATACAGCTATGATTTATTCGAAAAATATAGAGCGAACTTATAATTGTTAAATAATATAATATGCCTATATTTATGAATTACTTTAAATATCTAAAATGCAAAATTATTGTTTAGGAAAAATGGTATTGTGGCATCATCGAATGTACTTTTGACTTTTTAAACTTGTCAAATAATAAAAACACCCACAAAACTCCAACTAAATCAACTTATACAATTTTAAAATGTCGCATCCGAAGGTAGTTAAACCTTGTTTCATGCCGTTTTGTGAAAATTCTTCATTACATTCTAAAAAAGTGTTTATTTTTGGCCCAATAAACTTAAAACAAAGAAATTACAACAACCTAATACTAGATATGTCGTCTGTCATTTGATGTTGCATTACATTTCACTTTTGTTCGTTTCTTCTATTCTTCCGAACAGTTTGTTTAAATTCTTATGCCACTAATGATTCAATACAACAAAGCTCCCTTGTGATTGGTTAGTGACTTTACACGTCACGGGTCTAAATTTTAAATTTAAAAGGGCTATATTTCCTAAAATATTGAATAATTTCAGCAACTGAAAACTGATTTGGGTTCTAATGAGTTATATCTTTTCATATACTTGGCTAAAAACTGTATATATCTCATCTCGTACTCTCTTCCATTCGATTTCGTTAATTAAAGGCTGTTATTTACCTGCTACTTGCAACGCCCACATGCCTTTGATGCCGGGCAGATCGATGGAAGCGTGCTCTTGGATTCCTATACCGTTTCGGATGATCCTCAACGATCCTTCTTTGAAGGCCCCCGAGCAAGTGACCAGCTGGCCTTGTCCTTGCCTTTCCAAATCCACCACGCACATGTCGAGTATAGGCGCTAAATTCGTAAACGATTCCATTACGGTGACGTACGAACCGTTCTCGTCCGCTTTTTGGTTCAGTTTTACCAGTTGCGAATCGCCTATTCTCGAACCGATGAACAACACTCCGTTGTCCAGGTAAGTGATACATTCGGGTGTGGCTATTTCTCCGAGTAGCTCGACTTTCAAGTCTTTAACCGCCTCGGTGAAGTCTCCTCTGGTTTCGGTTTCGATGAACAACATGAACAAATGGCCCGCCATGTCGCCCAAAAGGTACCTCAAACCGCCCGGGTCGACTTTAGCGTAACATACGATCGTGCTTTGCTGTAAAGATTTTATTAGAATTAAATCGTTAGTAAATAATTTATACTCACTTTGATAACCGGAGGTGCTACTACTACGGGAGCTATACCGTTGTGGTACAAAATACTCTCTTGCCCGATTATTATGGCGCCTCCTAGGGGAGAGGGTACGGGTATGATGATCGAAGCTTCGGTTTCTACATTGTCCTGACGCCATGGGATTTTGACGAATTCTTTTTCTCTCAGGGATATTTCGTGGGTTTTAACGTGTCGTCCGTTACCGTCCTGGTGGATTAAAATTAACGTGGGATTTACGCAACCGTGTAAAAATTCGACATCTTGTACTTGCAACTCTTCCATTCTACAAACGAATGAATTAATACGTACAATAGTATATGACAGATGTTCTTACCTAAAATTCGAGGCTTTTAACTCGTAGTTATCTTTATCCAGTGGTATGATTTTGAACAAGCCTTCGTATAATCGTAGGCCGATAACTCTGGCTTTCGGATCGATGACGACTAATATACCGGTATCGGACGGTTTGCCTATACGATCGGCTACATTTCCATGAGCTTTGGTTATTATGTCTATGTTTTCTCCGTCGCTGGTGCATTCCAGTATCATAGCATTGTATCTCAACGTTACTACGAAGAGCAAATCTTTCTTTTCATGCTGCAAAATAACACCAATTAGCCATAATAAATAAAATTAATCGAAAGTTAAGTAGATGTTAGCATAGTTCGGAATCGCTTAATTGTCCAATACGAAACATTTTTGACATCTATCATTGTTACAAACATACACATATTAAACAAAAATACCACTGTTAGTTAAAACTTCCTGCGAATAAATAAATACTCGAGCAAATTTCAGATAAACTGCGAAAGTAAGTGCGTTATTTTCGAGGAATGTTTACGTAAAAAAATCGTGTTTACTTGAGGTCGAAACAGCTTCATAACGGCCACTTTTCCATACAATCCGACCTCCTTGATGGGCCGCAGGCCTTCGGGGGTCACCAGGTATATTTCTAATCGGGTATTTCGGGCGACGATGAGGTTCAAATCCGACGGCGATGTAAAATTGCCTGAAAAACGGTCGTCGTGTATTATTGGAAAGGTTACCTTTCGTCGTGCGGAAATCTCACCGGTCACACATGACGTAACGGCCGTCGGCTTGTGAGCCGTAACGATATAATGATGGGACATGCTCGATTTTCTTCAATTATATATTCTTTTTTATAATTTTTTAAAAGCTATAAATGACATGTTGTTTAAATATCGGCTTTTACGGAAATTGCAATTGACAAGTGACAATTGAATTTTGTTTCTGCTTTTCGATTACGATCAGTGGTCTTTGCCTTTTTGGCTTTCAGCTATTCCAATTCTTCTTTTTTTATTACATTTAATTTTTCATTATGTATTATTGGTTGCATATATAGAAGGACTAGAAATATTAAATAGAAAATTAAATGATTTGAATTCCTGCGGTATATTCAAATATAATCGTTATAAATTTACTAGAATTAAATACGAAGTAAGCATTGCATAGCAAAGGGCATTAACGCCTTCGTTTGGAAATAAAGAACCGAAAAAAATTTAGTGAGCACACCTGAGTCTCGGAGCCTAGCAAAAAGCGAAATATCACACAATCGCCGATTGTGACAAGAGTTGTGACTGATATTTATCCGCTTGACTTGCGACGAAAAGGAAACGTTTTCGTCCATTGTGCGAAAGGGTATTCAAAGGATTAAAATGCGATAATAACAAACGCACCGGCCACAATGAGGAGTTCTTTTGTGCAATTCCTAATCCTTGTAAATTTCGCCGCATTATCGTCACAGAGGTGTATTATTTCCTTCTGACACGAATATAATTTCATACCGGCGAATGTAAGGCGATAGTTTAGGAAGAAACGCATTCGAAGAATGTATGTTGCTTGATGAATAGGTTTGTCAGTAAAATATAAAACTATATGCTAACTGACTCATTGATAGCATATTTATATGCAACATTTTTTGTATGTTGGGCAATTTTTGCAATTTTACTATAGATAATTTTGAAGTTTACCCTAAATCAATAACTGCTATAAATTACTCTCTGTACTTTAGTAACTACAATATAAATGTTTGTCAATATGTTTTGTTCATAAAAGATATTTACGAGCGAATTCGCAATGCAAATACCCTAAGCGTGCAATAAAAAAGTAAAAGTTAGAAAAGCACAATTTTACGCAATTGTCCACTACTCGCCAAGGGTACAAAATTGGTTTTTATTTTGAAAAATACCTGCAATAAAACTTTCAAAAGTAGAAACTTGTCTCCACACGATAAGATTCCCGCGAAGAAATGCAAATATTACAACACTTGAGTCTTTTTTAGATACATATTCCGTGACTATAATCATCAATCATCGTAATAAGTAGATATAGTTCGCTCAATATTTGCGATAGATGACGTCATCATAACATAAACTCGTCCATAGTATATAATTATCCATAATTTCAAACGTACTTACAATCGTAACAACACGTGAATAATGAACCCTTCTCCACGTCTATTATACTTCACGAATGATTACCCCTTTTAAAGGGACACCAGAAAAAAGGGGACACCCACTGTTTGTATTATTTCAAATAATCGGTAAGAGTTTTTACGCCTATTTGCTGCGAATAAAGAGATCCCCCCGGACACCGGCGAACCCTTTCAACTCTTTCCGCAGCCCCGGCTATTAGAAGGGGAAAGGGTGATGGGTATCGGCCATTTCACCCTTCCGCATAAAGGTAAAATGGTTAGCCGAGGGATGATTAATTACCCCGAAGTCTATTCGAATTCGATTAATTCGTAATTTTTATTTGCGGATAATTCATCGGATTTAAAACGAGCTTTAACGTCAACTCGTGCTGGTTTAAAAATCGCGCAAATTATTCGCATTTCGGGGAAACCCGTCCCGTCAATATGGCACAATAAATATCAGTCTCGTTTTGCGTCCGTATACCCTTGCGAAATTTTTATTTACGACGGGCACTAATAAAGAAATTTACCGAGAATCGGACGGGAGAGGCTGCGGAGATATTGCACAAATCTTTCGGGGATTTTTTCGGGAAACGGTTTTTATTGTTTTACGACCCCCTCGACCCTCGGGGGGCCGTAAAAACTCGGAAAATTTGCATTCTGCTTTGACTTAATGGATGAAATTATATGGCTGGAGCATTGATTTTTTGGTGACTTTTTTTCTCTAAAAAAGTGGAATAAAACACACCTAAAAAATATATCTCGAGTATTTTTAGGTATTTTAAGTATTTTATAATTAGCAAATTAATTAAAACCAGCAGCGTTCGATTCGATTGGAAATGGCAGGGCTCTTTTCCCATCGATTCCCCGCGTCCCATTAAACTTTGGCAAATATCATCACGAAACCGATGGAAGTAATAAATTAAAAGTTCATTTATAGGAGCCCCCTCGAGGAGCGGGGGCGGCCGGAGGGGCGAGGGAGCGGCGGCAAGAAGAAACCAATAAATAATTAATTTCGAATCAGCCATCTTGGATATAGGACGATCAATCTCGAGAGGGCGAAAAAGGGAAAAAAGTTATTTCCTCATTTCAACCGGAGTCGAGACGACCCAATGGGGGTTGAAATTAAAATTTTTCCCGGCTTGATCGAGGTTATTTATATAAAAATCAAACTCATTTATAGTTGTAAGTATACCTATTATACACGTACGAGCGGTAAAGGGAGTTTTATTAATCTTTCACCGGACTAATTTTTAATGTAAAAATGTAAAAATGGGGAGAAGGAAATTCGATCGAGATTACTGAGATGAATATAAAATACATCTGAATGATTTAAACTTTTTTTTAAGTTGGCAATAAATGTCAAGAGTTAAGTTGGCAACGCTGATTTGTCTTTTAAATATTCTTATTAATATTTTTTTTCTTAAAATAACCAATCTTACAAAAAATACTGAATAATTTTTAAAACTTTTCCACTTTAACACGGTACAACTTTTGCATTAAATAACAAATTTCTTTGAGCTATAATTAGCAAACTTAGAAAATCAAATTTAATTGGATGTTTTTTTCTCGCAAAAGTATTTACGAAATTTAAATACAATCGCAAAGCAAAAACAAATCGTTTATTTTCGTTGGGGAATTAATTAAAAAATTTCTTTTAATTTATTCCGAGGACTGCGACATAAAAAGATTACTTATACGCGAAAATGTCCCGTTAATTAGCAATTAAACGGGAATCAAATTATAAATAAACCGTCGCAAAGAAAACACTTTACACGTTTTCTAATTACTTCGTTTTTTGTTTTTGTTTAATTAACGATAAAGATTTCGTAGACGTTAAAAAACTGCTTTAGGGATTTCGAAATCCACTTTTCTGGCTGTTTTTGTCGATATCCGGGTCGCGCCCGCATCTGCTTCTCCGCATTTTTACCCCCTTTTTCCACCCCATATGGTCCATTTCGATGTTGGTATTCAAAACAGCGGCGTTTCCCTATTTCAACCCATCTTAATCCTAGGAAATTTCTGCGCTCCTCTACAGCCAATTCCCAATCAAGAACCCACTAATTTTTTTTAAATGTTCAGTTTATAGCGGTATTATTATCTACAATTAGTTCTAAATCGATAGAATTGATTGTAGATTTTATTTCTTTTTTTCCAAATTTGATTAATTCCGGTCAATTGTAATAATAAAACCAATGAGAGAAATATGCTGGTATATAGTCTCGAACAAAGAAATAATAAATTGTGTAGGATATTTAGGATATTTATGTTGGTACCATTTTATGAACATTTTACGTTGCAAAGTAACCATTGATTAAATATTAATTTTTGTTGGAATATTTAGACTAAATATTAGCCTAATTATTACACCACTACTTACGACAAATTAACCAAAATAACCAAAAATCCTCTCTTATAAGGATTAAATTATTAAACAACACTTCGCATTGTCTCAATTTTCTTAATTCCTCGAGAGGGCTGGTAGTCGTTCAGGAAGGGCCATTAAGCCTTAAGGGCCCCCTTTCGAACAGGAAATGCACATGTGACCTAAAATGCCCTTGCACCGAAATGACGGAATTCGGATGATTTCGAAATGATATGTGGCTAACATTTGTTCGAAATGCAAAAATCCCCGAAGAAGACCTGCGGAGAATATCGGAGAATCGACACACTTTATCAGGACAGGATGTGAAAGTTTTCTGTTCTATCTATGCCTACATACAGGGTGATACAAATATATTAAGGAAGCATATACAGGGTGTTTCTGAAATAACTGTGGTCAAACTTTGGGAGCCAGTAGAGAACCTCAAAATATGACAAAAAACAATTGTCATTTTATCGAAATGTCAAGTTTTTGAAAGAATTAATTCCTACTAGATTTTTAAAGAAAATAGTTTAATAATTTTGTGTATCAGAATTTTAAAAGTCATTTTTAGTGAAAACAGTTCACTTTGCGGGAAATCAACAAGTATACCTTTTTTAAGTAAAAAACTTCATTTTTTCATATTCTTTAAACAAATCAAGAGAAAAGGTTAAAATAAAAAAGTTAAGTTTGAAATACCCCACGAAACCCTCATTTTAACCCACCCCTGGACAACTTTTTTAACCCGATTGAAGAGTGCCGTAAGACAGTTCATTTGCTTAGTACGTTTAAAAAATTTCAACATTTTACCTGCTATTAATCAAATTATTAATAAAAATACCTCTTCAAGAATCCATCTTTAAGACCCTGTATACCGATAACCAAGGACATTTCAATAAAATGATATTTACATTTTTGTCTTATTTTGAGGTTCTCTACTTGCTCCCAAAGTTTGACTCCTTATTTCAGAAACACCCTAAATAAAGAGCAAAAAGGACAATTAATAAAATATGTATTTATGAAATTTCCCCGGTATATTTAAGTATAGTTAAGTTGCATTCCTTATAGTGAACTCGGCGTGGTCAGTTAAAGGGACCCTTTTTCTCCACCCCCTCGAAGACAGACTCGGAGAAAAGGGTGACATAACATAAAAGAGTGGCGAATTCACGCTTTATTTAACTTCGTGCCTACGGTTTACGAAAATCCCTTTAATCCGCAGAAAATAATATCTCGAAAAAATCTGGCGGCGACTCCTCAAAGCGGCAGTATCACTTTTTTCTTCTAAAGCGCTGAAAGCGAAAGAAGCGCAAGGAGACTAGAAGAAAAAAATAGCGGGGGATAAGAGGGGTTTTTGCGGGGACCATTCCGAACCCTTTCGAGAGCGGATGATGCCCTTCTGTGCGCCCATTCGGGTGAAATGGTGCGACTATCCTTTTG